CATCGTGACACTTCTCTTCGTAGTCTTTCATTGCTTGCTTGACTACCTCCTTCCCGAGTTTGAGTTCACTTGTCCAACCGATTAGTGTAGAGTCGTCGGCAAAGAGGCTCTCCGTAATTTCGAACTTTTCTCTGCCTGCCCTGGTGGCCGCCACTCTTACGTTCTTCGGCGACAGACTGCTGCCCGTAAGCCTCGACCATTTGAGCCCGCATTCTTGGTTCGCTTCTTTTGCCGCTTCCTCTCTTAGGGCTTTTGCAAGCCTGACCACCTGGGAAAGGTATATATTGAAGAGAGTGGGGAATGTGGCGCATCCTTCTCGCAAGCCTCGTTGCGGCTTCCATCCTTCACTCAGCTCATTTCTCCCCTTGATCTTAAAGGTGGTATCTTCATGTAAGCCTTTCAGGAGTCTTAGGATCCAGTTTGGTATAGCCAGTCTGTCTAGTATTTCCCCACATAAGAGGCTTATTTGCCCGGGGATACGCCTTAGTTATATCCAGGAGTACCGCTCCTGGTCTATTTCGTGTACTCTTCGGCTCATATCCTAGGACCCTCCTGGTCGCCTCGTCTACCCTTAGAATTAATTGGGTTGCGTCCGCCGTTGATCGGTTTTGTCTGAAACCACTTAGGTTCTCGCCTAACACATCGATCTTTTCCGACCACTCTGTCTTGAGGCAAGTATCCTCGCTATGATTCTGCTTGCAAGTGGTAAGAGGCATACCCCTCTGTAGTTATTGAGATCGTTCTTCGCACTTTTCTTGTGTAGCGGTATTACCGATCCTTCTTTGATCCTCTCTGGCCAGTTCTCAGATTGGGTTTTAACGATCTTCATGATGCATCGGAACAACGCTGGTCTTAGATGTTTTCCACCTCTCTTGACATCGATCATCCTCATGTTTTCGCTACCTGGAGCACTATCGTTAATACTTTTATCTCATTGTTGAATTCGGCCAAGTGATCTCCCGTCCCAGAACCTTCGCGGCCTGTATACTATTCTTATCCCACCTTTGAGTTGTCAGTTTCGCAGTCTCTTTTATCTCATGGATTTCCCGTTCGAATCTCTGGTCCGATACCTTTTGGAAGTGTTCTCTGAACTCGTCTGGTGTGAAGTATTCCTCCTCGATGGTGGTTGAGTCCTTTATGCCGATCCTTTTGAGGGCTGAATATAGCTTTCTGATGTCTCCGGCGCGTTCCGCAGCCTTAGCATCTTCTACCACTTTCAGCCACCACTCTTCTTCCCATCTTTCTTTGTCGGCCTTGAATCTATTCCTCGTTTCCTTCCGATTCTGTCTTTTGTGTGTCTCATAGTTGATTCCGTGTCTCATAGTCCAAATCTTTGCTGGATTCTTCGTAATTTAAAATTAAAACTCGCGGAAAAAATGTTGCAAACTTGAGAGACTTCAGCTGCGAAAAAGCGTGATTGGTTGCATAGCGTTTACAACTGTGTAGTAGCACTGTTTCATCTAATTCAATCAAATTCTGTAAATTTATCTCAAGTTCCTTTGTATCGGAACGACTTCTTCGCGCTGTTTCCAGCTTAATTAACTCATGCACAGTAAGTGAAGAATAGTAAAACGGTAGATTTTTACGTTTAGAACGTTTGGATTTGCAACAGGATTTATTGGCTAATTGTAAAATCTTGTTCCAAGCTCCCAAAAAACAGATCACAACCGTTGTGACATAAGTTCGTTAGCTCCGTGTCAAATTTAGGCTAACGTTGAATTTTTTGTTGATCAAAAGCATTAACTGAATACTGGAATGTGTAATAGGGGTATTTGTTTGCTCTATAGTACTGTTAAAATAAAATATGATAGGAAATTGATCAGATAACGAGATAGATGATAAAACTCTGAAATCCTTAAATTCTCAAATTTGAGAAGAAAGCAAGATCCAGAATGTTCAGGCAATTTTGAGTCGGTGAATGCGTCAGTTGAAAAAGTTGACACTCTGCAGTGAGATACTCTAGTAATGCTTGTTCATCTGAGCTGGTCGACGTAGCATCCCAATTTCCGCAACTAAGTCGTCTAAAGTTGGCTATTCGAGTTTTTCAAAGTTTGAGAGCGTACTGAAATTGAACAGTATGTGAGAAGCAACATAATTCAATTTTGTTTTCAACAAGGGAAGGTGACAAAGATAATAAAGAGATCCACGTGGAGTAAGCTATAATTAAACACACGCGAACAATCCATCATTGAAACTGATCACTGTACAAGCTCCAAAATCAAATGCTTCGGTGAACATAACTTCGCTTTTTGCTAGAAATTCAACGCTACAAGCTATAAGGACTCCAGCATGCTGTCCAGTTGGTCGATCGCTTCTACAGATAACCGAATAACCATGCCCACAGAATAGTGATAAGTCTCGTACAGAAGCATCAAGCGACGTTGAGGTCAAGAGTGATAGTGAAAATTGGTGGCAACAGAGATTGACAAACTCGCATCCGTCTTCTAGAGAAACGAAACTTTGGCAATTTCATAAGCAAAGTGAGTGTTCGTATAGACTATGAGATTCTAGCCAAGGAGTTTTAACATCCATAACTTTCCAATTTCGGGTTTTCCCGGATTTTCAAAACCATCTTGCCGCTTTAGTCCCCTCAGGTTGAATTGTACGGTCTGCTCAGCCAGTGTCAGGTCCGGATTGATAAAATCTTCATGAGACTTCTCTGTTTGTCTCAACTCTTTTGCTTTCCGCAGAGATTTCATTCGTAAAACAGCCGACTCGAACTTGAAGGAGCAATTATGTTCCGGTCTCATAATTTATTTAACCAATTCTTTTGGTTTCAACAGCATCTTCAGCGGTTTCGCTAATTTCCAATGCTTCTGCGATTTCGTTCAGGAGGTTGCGATCACTGTTGTTACTTGACGGTATGGTTCCTTTCACAATTGGTTTTAATTTCTTGTTATCAGCAAGACTTTGCTCTTTCTGGACTTCATACAAAGTTGTTACACGTGCTTCAGTCTTATATGCTAGGGTATTGACCAGTACAAATGAACAGAATCCGTTTCTAGTCGATCATCATCTCTCTATTAGTGTTTTCTTAACTTTGGCGCCATCACAGCACTGAAAAGGCATCTTGCCACCCGATGAATTGACCCGAGGTTGCGAGAAATCTATTCAATGTTTATGAATAAATCACCAAAAACTAAATAGAAACAATCTAAGTCTGAAGATACAGATAATCGAAATTATGATTTTAAAATTTATCAGTGAAAATGGGATTCAATTTTCTGCGTGAATGAAAAAACGTTCAAATAGACGAGAAACGCTCACACATTCGATCGGATCTCGAAGATCCCAAACAAGGGCTAACCAAAATAAATATCCGATTCGTCGAAAAGCCAAAGACTCTGAAATTGACTTATTAACCAGCATCAGGTGCTATATATTAATTTTATCAAACAAGTAAATTCTTGATAGTAGTTAAAATCACAACATGCTTTTTAGATTCAATTTTGACTCCAAGTTATTCAACAGAATCTTTCGATAGATTGATTTATCACCATTGCGATAAGCAAGGGTGTTGCAATCGGCTACTCTGATTTTTCACGTGAAGAACTTTGTTCACAGGATGTCTTAAATTGTGGTAATCTCCATACTTTTGTCAACTAACAGAAAAGTTTGAGTATTTGCGCATTTTAAATGCCCGTTCTTTTCGAATTTTGTGTTACGTTTTGGTTGTAAAATAGGCCGTCATGATTTCTTTTTTTTTGGATTTGAATTTTTGTGGTTTGGTTTAATAGATTTCTTTTGAAACTGTTTTTTTGTTCAGTTCATCTCTTTTGTTAAAAGAGATGCGAACTCCACAATCGAACAACAAAAATAAAAAGGTCATGGATATTGATCCAGGTTTCTCAAATTGGGTTAACCTCAAATAACAACTTGTAATTCTTTAATTGTTTTTGAAATTCAAAGAGGTCTAAGGTCTTATATTTTTGGAAGTTGACATTTTTTTAGAAAACCAGTCCGATTTTTTTCTCTTGTGTTCATTGACTCTTTCAACTGTCTGTTGGCTATGTTTTTTTTCTTGAAATGTTGGGCAAATTGTATTTTTCTTTGATATCATCAAAATTATGCTTAACTTAAATGCGTTCATGCCCAATCATTGTTGCTATTGTGGTTTGCCTCAATGTTCTATTACTGATTAATACGAATCAATTTATTTTTTGATTCTCGTTAAAACTTTGTCGATTTTGATGAAAAAGCAGCTGCGTGCAACCCTAATTTGAGATATATTTTAAAAGAAAATCTCAATCAAGAAATAATTTTTTTTTCTTTATCACTAGTATAGTATCCTCCGTCCAGATAAGCAAGGGTATTGCAATCCGTTTCTAGACTTTTCCCGTGAAAAACTTTTCTCACAGGGCTCTTGGTGGTACCTAGGTTTTTGTCCTATTATTTGTCTGCTTATGCTTTGTCGGCTTAGTTGTCAGATCTAAGAATTGTCTATTTTTGGTGCAAGCACGTTTCAATGTAGTTGCTTTAAGTGTCTTTTCATTTTAAAAGGCCGGCCGAATCGAAATTTGCTTTTTGCATTGTTTGTAATTTTACCAACTCCATTTGTAAACGTTTTTTTTTTCAATATTTTTGTCTTTTTTGCTTTAATAGGTTTGCCGAACAGTTTTTGTTGATTTTCAGCAAATTGGCCGTCGGATTTAATTCTGTCGGTTTATTTACCTGAAATTTTGTTTCCTACATAATTTTGATATTATTTATAAGATCTTTAAGACTTTGGTCCTTAATTCAAATTTTCCAATGCTCAAATTCAACCCCACTTGGAACTCTTTAAAAAAATTAAATGATTTTCGTTTTTTTTTTGTTTTTATAGTTGTTTCTTCTACGGTAACAACTTTCAAAGTCCTCTTTGATAGTTCTTGAGTTCCTTGCTGTCTGAATCCTATACTGGCGGTATCGCAAATGGTGCGAAGCTCAGCTTCGCCTCCGTGTTTAATATAACGCTAAAATAGATTACTACTTGAAACCATATGATTAATCATCTGTTCTAGGCTGGACGATAGCTGCTCTTGCCTTTGGTGTTTCTCTGTTGGTTCCATATCCTGAATCTTATTATGCAGTGACTCAGTGCAGACTGAACACATCTGTGGTACAGAATTCAGACGCACCTGACAGTGGATTCATCTACGCACTGGCCATTGGATTGGCTGCCATGGGAGTGGCCATGGTCGACTGCTGCTCAGGTAATTTTTATCTTCATCATTAACCTGCCGTAACTCGTGCTGTTGTACCTTTCATAGTAATATAGTTTTCAAAAATAAGAAGTTGTGAACTATTTTTTTAGTGTGCACTTGAAATAAGCAGACGAATTTGCTGTTTTGTTAAACGAAATAAACGATGATAATTACCTCGCTTCCGAAAAATATTGCATATCATATTAAATTGTTTTTTTTTTCTTCAAGCCGTCATCATATTTTGTTTTAGACGCTCTGTCCGTGGACTATACGAAACGTGAGACGAGCAAACGTCGTGGTTGGACAATAGTTGGAACATTAAGCTGCACCAATGTAGGAGCAGCTGCTCTATACCTGATGGTCGGCTTTGGTCTTAACAGTCCTGCCTACAGGGGAAGTTTCTGTGACTTGCCACTCACTTATCAACATGTTCTCATGGTCTACTTAGCCACGTGTGTGTTGGGTCTTTTGAACTCTCTTCTGCTCACCTATGACATTCCTCTGAGTCGCGACATGACGCAAGTGTCTATTAAATCAAAGGTAGTGGCACTTGTATTTTTAGCTAATTTTACTTCGTCAAAAGCTAGGCTGTATCTAAGATGCGTTGTGCTCTATAAATCTATCATCCATTATATATTTAAATGCGGGCTTCACTATCTCGCCATGTTAAAGCTTTTTCAACGTATTATTTAAGGATGTTTTAGCAATATGGTATATTGCAATGGTTAAATTTTTTTTTCGATTTTCCAATTTGATTTTAGTGGATACCGAGTTTAAATGAAGCAGCCCAATATCGAATTAGGGGTTGCGAATTTCGCCTCCAATTTTGAATGCCCGAATCATTTTAGTTAAATAGATAAGACGATTTTTGAGATTTTTGGGTCCTGCCAGTACTCTTACAGATTGCGAATCTTGCCTCCAAGTGTGACTGATCAACTCTTTGTAGTTTTCGAGATGTGACGTTTTTATGATTTTTTTCAAAATTTTCAGAAAGATGAAATTAATTATTTTTCAAAATTTGAAATTCCCAACGCTATAGTTCGTGCTGGTAGGGTACTCTAAAGAGTTGCAAATCTTGCCACATGCGACTGCTAAACGCGACTGCTCAAATGCTTTTGGTTTCCGAGATGTGACGTTTTTTGATTTTTTCAAAATTTCTCAAAGAACTTATCTACAAAGAAATTCAAAAAATTTGAAACTACTAACTTGATGAAGATACAACCTTATTGTCAGCGTACACCCAGGCGTCTCAAATCTTGCCTTTTAATAGGAATGCTCAAATCTTTTTAGTTTTTGAGATAGACGTTTTTTTCGGGTAACTTAGGTTTAAAAAAATTCACAAAATTTTGGATTCCTAACCCTATAGTAGGGTGCTCTCAGGGACTCTCAGTGGTTGCAAATCTGGCCTCCAAATTTCTCCAGAGGCCCATTAAAATTTCGAGATGACGATTTTAAAATGGGAATTCAAAAAAAATTAAAAGTTCGAAATTACCAACCCTGTAATTGGGTGCAGTCAGAGCACAATAAAAGTTTGCAGATGTTGTTTCCAATATATGCGGTTTTTCATGAGTTGTCGAAGAATTTCGCAGCACCGAAGGTGCGTTAAACGCTAGTAATGGTTATTTGCCATGTTTCCAGAGTAGTCTGTTCCATAAAAACCGTTTACATGTAATCCGATAATCGAGATAAGTGTATATTGCTGCACTGTGTTTAATTGAATCAAATGATGACATGTCTTTTGATCAGTGGGTTATGTTGATCGCTTGCTGTATTGTCGTTTCAGATGCGTGGCTTCTGGCACCTGATGCAGGACAGAGTGTTCCTTCGTTGTGCAGTCCTCTTCCTTCTCTCCCCTGCACTTCGGCTCCAGTCATCCGGGGCAGTCAAGATCAGGAAGAACTGGGCAGAGGCTAGTATCACTCGAAGGGAGGGAATCGCAATGATTTCTAGTATCAGTTGTGAAATCCCAAATTATTAAATCAACTCAATGCAGATTTTTCGTCGTGAATTACTGTCATGCTCGCTCTAGGCGCCACTTCCAAATCAGTCCTGGTTTATTCACACCCATTTTTAAGAGTAATGAACGTAGCGAAGTGCATTCATAAATGCATTAAAATGTATGAATGCACAAGTAGTTACTAAAGCGCTTTCATACGTTTTCTTGCCAAAAAATCACCAAGACCTTTATAAGAGTCTTATAAGGTCTTGGTGATTTTTTTTGTCATGAAAAAGTATGAAAGCGCTCTAGTAACTACTTGTGCATTCATACATTTTAATACATTTATGAATGCGCTTAGGTATATATGCACTTTTTGAGTTCAATTGAAATTCATTTGCTGAAAGTTAAGTAAATAGCACTACTCAGATAAGAATGTGGAAATTATGCGAAAAACTTCTAGTTGCAAAAGTGGAATTCAATTTTAGATTTCCCAGTTGAAAAAACGTTACCTATGATCCATTTTTCTTAAATTTGGTTAATGTTATCAAGAACGCACCAATCATAAATTTTTTGAAATTTAAAGAGCTATATATATTTTTCTAAATATCGAAGGATGAAATTGTCCAATTTGTCCAAAAAAAACATGTCAGTATCTTTTTTGTTTCCTTGCATTTATTGAATCTTTTTCAACTGTCAGTTGGCTAATTTTTTCTTGTCTGCTTTCTAATTTGACTTTCAATTCGTTTTAATACAGTGCTGATTACGCTAGCGAGAAGCTAGTGTTGAAGACTTTTTTAAACCTAACGCAAATGAAAGTGTTTATTAAAAGTGTTGACTTGTATGCTTTTTGCAGTAATCACGATCTGTAACATTGAAAATTTCTTAACACCCGTTTTCGGCTTTATATGTGGCTAGTGCTTGTAATGGTTTTAAGCGTTCATGGCTGAGTGGTTAGTGCGTGAGTCTCTTAATTTCTAGGCCGCAGCTGGTCGTATGTTTGAGTCCGAGACGCCGAATTTTTACCAATTCGAGTCTTATTTTAACTTTTTATTTTTGCATTTTTTAGAACTCTAGAGCTGCTTTTTATCGTGTTATTGCAGTGTTTGCGAATCGCAGCTTCGCGTCTGTGTATAAATTATCTGGACGTACAAGATGAATCACGTTGGAAACTTTAAACGAGTTTTTCTCAAATTGAGTTAAGATAAGACAAAAAGTGAACCGAACAAAAATTGCTTAGCTTTAGCAGAATTCTAACGGTGCGATTTAATTTGCAAAATCCGAACCATAATTTACCCCAAAATTGATCGTTTTGTCATTTCTTTTTGAATCAAAAACAACCCCAAAATTACTTGATAATAAATTACCTGAGTTATTCAAATTATCAATTACCTGAGTAAAGATAATAAAAGTATATCAAAAGAAGCCTCTCACAGCTCAACAAAGTTTAAGAGTAAAATCTCCAAAAATTTTTGTAAACTTTGTTTATAAGCAAAGACTGAGTTTTATATATTAAAAACAACATTTTTGGCTATCAAGGAAAAATATATAATCTTACACAGATTTTTTTGGAGATTTTACTCTCTAAAACCTTATCATTTCTCTATAATTTTATCGTCAAATTACTCAAGGGTTTGATAATTGATTAACTTTAGCTAATTTAAGAATTTTTTTTATTAACTAAGAAAAACCTAAATCAATCATTTTTGGGGTAAAATTTTCGTTCCGAATTTGGCCAAAAAAATTGGAAATGATAAATCGGGTGAAATTTTAAGCAACATTGTTTCTGTTAACTTTTTGTTCAATCCTAACTCAATTGCAGAAAAACGAGCTCAAAGATTTCAATTTTAATCGTTTTGTCCGAATAATTTAAATCAGCACTGTGTAAGCAACCGATGATCGGCATGGTGCTCAATTGTGTGTTGAATGTCGTGAAAATGGGTCGTGCACAAGCTTATCAGTTGCGTGATTCTTCGGCATGGTGTATTGGTGTCATTTTTTTTCTGTATCTTGTGATAGAAAAATAGAATATAGGCATATTTGAGAATCATAGTGAAATAGGTCAATTGGAAAACAGTTTCTGAAGAAAAATGACAAGAAAAACGAAATATTTTTTTCAATTTTGAATTTTTTTTGCAATTATTTTTTAAATTTTGCCAAAATTTTACTAAAAATTTTGCTGAAAAAGAATAAAACTAAGTTTTCCCGGCTGAAACTAAGCTTAAATAAGCTATTGTAAACTTATACGGTCACCTTGTTAGCTCGAAATTAGACCAGAAATTAAAAATTTTAAACCGGTTTTTCTCGACACTGTAAGGGCTTTAATATATACCATTCAACCCAGTCCGGTGATTGTTTGTGGTACCTGATTTGGCGTGGAAAACAAAAAAAACACACCCGAATACAAAGCTCCTCCTTATTTTTCAAATGGTCGGAGCAATAAGGATTGCAATCATTTATCTCAATTTTGCGTCTGGATATGTCACAAAACTTAATAAAAATGCTTGACTTGATGAAATAGAACTACTAAGTTTCAAATTAAAGGAGTTTTTATACAATTTTTCTGATGTAACGTGAGATGTTGCCTACAAAGAAATTATGATGCTTTTTTAAAAAGAAAGTCTTCCCAGCCAGAGTCAGTTTTTCTTGAGCCTAGCGGTACTTTATAGTTGCTTCTACAAAAATGGGTGTAACGGGATTCTTCCAGCGTTTTTTCTCTGTGGAATCCATTGCAATCTTTGCAGGTTCAGCCGTTGGAGGGAAGTGTAGTGGCTGCTCTCAGTGCTCTAGTGGGTGCATTGGTGGTCGTGATCTACCAGAAACTGAGAAAACAGCTGTTCCAAAAGCTGTTCCAAAGTTGGATCTTTTCTTACATCGCCATCAAGGTTAGAAGCCTACTCTGATTCTCAACATAATATACAAACGCTCTAGTAGATTGCTAGTAATTTATAAAAAATTTTACTGTATACTTACTATTTGTTAAAATGTTATAAGGGCTTTTTGCATTATTAGGAGTCCATGAACGTAGCGAAGACTCTTATATAGGTCTTTATGGTTTTTTAAATGATTTAAAATGCTCGAATTTTTTACAATAAAGAAGCACATTCATACAGATTAAGTATTTATGAATGCTTCTATTTAGAGGGACGCCCCCTCTCAGGGATTCGACACCCTGCCGGGTTCCCCTCTTTTTACTATTTTGAGATATCTATTTTTGGCCCTCCCCAAAATTTTTCTAATGCGCCCTGGCGCCAATATATACTAATTTTGAGGGAGGGGGTGTAAAAACGCAATTTTTTGGTCAAAATTTTCCAGAAAGTGCCTAAAAACGCCTTCTTAGGCCTGTTTTTTGGAAAGTTTGCCTGCTGAGCAGAAAATTTGGTTGAAATAAGTTCTTTACAGTGATTAGAAAGAGCTCAGAAAATCAATTTGGGCAACCTAAAAAAAACGTCGACAATATTTTCGACTTTTGAAAACCCACCCCACCTCGAGAAAATACCAGATCCGCCTCTACTTCTAGGTCTAAATGCACTAATTGGGTTCAAATCAATTTCATCTGCTGAAAGTTAAGTTAACTTTGCTCTCCAAGTACAAAATTTAAGGGTCACGAAAAACGTGATCGAGCTCAAGTGGAGTTTATTTTTCTGATTTCCCTGCGGAATAAACATTTTACCTATTGATCCAGTTTCTCAAATTGAGTTAATTTTTTTTTCAAAAAGTGTCTGCCAGAAATTGTTCTTTCAATTCAAAGAAGGGTAAGGCCATATTTTTTAACTTTGAAATTGGAATGTTGAAGTCTGAAAAAACGCGTCAGTTCCGTTTATGTTTTCCTCCGCTTATTGAATCTTTTTTCACCTGTGAAAGCCAGTGACTTGTAATCGGGAACAAAGACTTTTTCCCGTAAACAAAATTTGTTACGGGCGACATTTAATAGTAAATTAGTTTTGTTACAGGTCTGAATCCCGGTCTACTTTGTTTTCTTTTCCATCATGTATTTTTATGTTTGTGAGTATGTAAGTATATTATGGAACACCTTTCAGGTCCCTTCTTATTTAGTCCAGAGGTAAAGCACGCGCCTATGACACATCAGGTCGGGTCGGACCTTTTTTTCAATGTGCGGAAGTATTTTTTTTTGGTAAAACCTCGTTTTTCGGACTATTTTTTTGCTTGCATGGGTTCAGTTCATGCTATGCTATATCGACTTTTTTACATTTTCTTTTTGTGTAATTTAAATGCAAAAATAGATCGCGTATTTCAAAGATTGGAGTGTAAAAATTATAGCTGAAAATTTTCTATGACATTTTATTTTCGGCTCAGCTGGTGTCTACCCAAGTATTTTCGTCTCAGGTGCTGGCGTTTCTTGGCATATTTTCCTCAAAATGAAAATCATCTACTAATTCATGATTCTTTTTTAAATTAAAAAACGTCTTCGACTTAGTTGGCTTCGGCACATCGTCTGTTTGATAGTAAATGGTATCTTTGTGTTGTATCACAAGTGTGGCAAAGTTCCGCTTTGCTTCTATGTCTGTTGGCTGTTTTAAGTTAATAAAGATATCATCTATGTGCAACTAGCTCGGTTTTGCGAAATAGCTCAATCTCAGTTTGAATGAAGTATTGATCTTTTCTTTCACTTCAGTTCATCTGCATGAGTGCGACAGTGGTGGTAGACAGTGTGACTGTGTTCGACCTAGTGCGCAACCAGTACTTCTACTTCCTGGGGGATTTAGCTGACAGTGTGCATCTAGCATTCGGATCCTGTATCCTCATGCAGCTGGCAGCCGAAATACCCACAGAAGGATTGGAGGCTCTGACATTCAGGTAACATTTCACTGCTCCGTATCAGTTGGTCATTGGAATTACTTATCTGCAGACGGTTTCTTCTGATTGTTATGCTTATCATGAGAAAATATCAGGCTTTCTTTTATTGTGTGTGCTTGATTGCAGCAAATGGAAATTGTAGTTTTTGTATAACTATAAAAAAGAATTCAATTTTTTCGTTGCTTGAGCAGTTGCCTTTAAATTGTTTGTGATCTATTGACTGGGTTTCAGCATGTTCATGAGCAATTGGACAGTAATGAGTATTGTGGGAAGGATGGCCGCCAATCTTATATCAGCGCCTTTCAACGTCATAGGTTAGTCAACCCTTTATAGTACGCAGGCAAATCAATGTATTTATTTTGTGTAAATTAAGCATGTCTGCTTATGACCCTTACAAGGAATTCGTAAATAAGCATTACCTTTTTTTGTCGAATCTGCCGCGCAAATCTTAGCCTCATCTGTTTTTTTTCTGTTTTCTTACGTTCATTGATTTTTTTCCAACTGTCAGGCTTTGTTTTATAGACAATTCGAAAAATTATTCTATTCCAAAAACGATTCTATGGATTTTTTAAAAAAGATCTCAATGGAAAGACCGCATACTCCCTGTAGTCTCTTATCTTTACGCCTCTGTCTACAGCCTTCGAAAAAATCTGTGTTGGGAGTCTTTGACGCATAATTTTGATTATTTTTAGTTTCTCAAAAACCAATCCTTTTCAGTGAGTAGAACGGAATTGAAAAGCTCCCCTGCATGAGCCGCTTGGCTCAAATTTTTTCTCCTATAATTTTATAGCCCTCGGAATAGTCTAATATTGGATTTTTGACCGTTTTTTAACCTTTTTGATTTTTCTCTTTTTAAAAACTACCCTTCCATATCTGTTATTTTCGGTTCAATGCATAGAACGGTTTGTGGGAAGCTCTTATGAATGCAGGACTACGCCCAATTTTGGCAAAAAAATTATGGCCCTCAGAAAAGTCGAAATTTTGATTTTTTGACCGTTTTTGTAAAACTTCGACTTTTCTCGATAAGTGACCTCCCGTATCTTAATTTTTGGGTTTATTCGAAATTACAGGTTGCGTCAATCTCTTCTGCATAAGCGGCTCTGCCCTTTTTTGTCACATAAAAAGCTAAGATTTTCGGAAATGTCAATTTTTTTGTTTGTTGACCATTTTTTGGGCTTTTCTCGGTAACTATCGTGCCAAATCTGATATCATAAGTGAAATCGAAACAACTGGTTTTTGAAAGCCTGCTTTTATAATTGGCTACGCCCAATTTTTTGAAGAAAAAGTTTTGGACTGCAAACAAGTCAAATTTTGATCTTTTGACTTTATTTTAGAAACTTTTTGAATATTCTTTAAAAAAACTCCCCTATCAAGTCTGAGATGAAAAGTGCGATCATCGAAAGAACCGGTTGCGGGAATTTTTCCTACAGAAGTGGCGGCTCCTATTTGTAGGGGAATTTTTATGTCATTGGGAAAATTCAAATATCTCAAAATTACTCTTAATTACTTTAGTATAGAAACAATTAAGGTTTTGGACAAAGTCCCATTTTTGATTTCATTCCGCATCAGTATAACAAATTCAAAATAATTAAGCGGGTATCTCGAGCTTTAGTTGGGCCCCAGTTATTTTTTTATCGATGCATACATAAATTTGTGTTGTATCGCAAGTGGTGCGCAGCTGTGCTTCGCCTGTGTTGAAACTCATTTTTGCCCGGTTTGCTTGTTCATTGGGACATGTCAATCTGTCTGTTGCCAATGGTGTTCTGATACGCCTTGACTTTCGTTTTCTGAGATTGTATCGTCATGAAAGTGCTCTCAGTTTCCTTGAATATTTTTTCACATATGTTGAAGATGAAAAACAACTGCGACTGTGTTCGTTTAGAAGATGAGCGATACTTCCGAGACGACAGCGAGGACAGATTGAGAGTGTTCGGATCTGTGTTTGCAGTATTCATTCTCAACATAGTCTGTCTCCTAGCTGTTTTCTTCCTCTGTCCAAGAGATAAAAGCCATGTGCATCAGTTGAAGAAGGAGTTGGGAAAATCAAAGTTTCTTGCCAAAGTGTACTTGGTTGTGTTTGTATTGATGTATTTGTTCAGCTTTGTCTATCTGCTGCTGATGATGAACAGACAGTTCCAGTGTTGGATAGTCTTGGGGGGCAACGGGTGCTAGTGAACCGTCACAAAAAGTGTATACATTTTGATCAGTCATGAGCTCGCATGTTCTATATACTGCGTTAACTCATGACAAATAACAACTCGCAAAATTTAAGAAAAGCAACAACTCGCAAAGTTTCGAAAGATAGTTCGAAAGCTGTATCGGCAGGTGGTGACCCCTTGTTCGGCTGCGTTAACATGCGGCACGAGTCATATAGAGCGCCTTCGTCATTTTTTGTGGATTATATAGATTTTTTTTGCAATTAGAGAGAAAACGCTAGTTTTTGCTTTCTTTAAACATTGTGAGTTGTGGTACGATTTTCTAACTAGCTTGTTTTCTCTTTTGAGTTTTGGCATCTTTTCCATTTATTCCCTCCAGCAAATTAATGCTCTCCATTATAAAAAAAATTACTGTGTGCTGGGGCTATATTCATATTTTTACTAGGCCGGGGGGTTATAATGGGAAAGCGCCGGGGTTTGTATCGATCTATTTAACTCTGAAGTCACTGTGCTAATATGTAAAAGGGCCAAACTTTGAAGTATTGCTATTATATTTGTTTCATTGCAAATGGAATTGTGCTGCTGTGCAGAATGATGATTGAAGATGTACTTTTTAGAATCTATCTATCCATATTTTTAGCTGCTATGCTTTGTCAGTAATGTGTAAATATTTGTATTTGAAGATGTTATGTTTGTAGACTTGAAAAAATATTGCAATTAATGGTCACAATTCACTCTTCTGATAAGCGTTTTTCATAAATAGAAGTGTTCGTCCTTAAAGTGTTCTATTCTGGATTCAATGTTTAGTGCTAGCATGAGCTAGGTTTCAGTAAGCTATAAATAAACCTAATGAAAACCTAAACGATGACGTTTTTCAGAACGTCAATGTCAACTGCCAAAACCAAAAGTGCATCTGGAACTGGCGGAGCCAAGCGAAAGTCAGCTGGCACAACCGGCAAGCCAGAATTGACTGAAGAACAGAAACAAGAGATCCGAGAAGCCTTTGATCTTTTCGATACAGAAGGCAGTGGCACAATTGACGCCAAAGAATTAAAAGTAGCTCTGCGAGCTCTAGGTTTTGAACCAAAGAAAGAAGAGATCAAACGAATGACTCAAGAACTGGACATAGATTCATCTGGAAAGATTGATTACAGGAGTTTTCTGGACCTGATGACTCAAAAAATGACAGAAAAGGATCCGAAGGAAGAGATCTTGAAGGCATTCAGACTGTTCGATGATGATAACACGGGTAAGATTTCGTTCAAGAATCTGAAACGGGTGGCTAAAGAACTTGGAGAGGAATTGACAGACGAAGAGCTGCAGGAGATGATAGAAGAGGCAGACAGAGACAATGATGGAGAGATAAGCGAAGCTGAGTTCCTGCGGATCATGAAGAAAACTAGTCTGTACTAACCTAGTTGTGGAATGATAAGATGTAGATTCAAACACTGCTAACGAAAGAACGGCCCTTGAATGATTTAGTAACAAAGTGAAGCTAAGATCTGAGTCATAATAAAGCGAAAATCAGGCTGCGTATTTTGAAATATCTCAGTATTAGCAGTTCAAAATTTAAATCCGAAATTGTTATTTTAAATACGTACTCTCAGGCTAATGCCAAATTGCTTCCCTTTACTTAATGTGTTCAATGTTGAATAACTGTGCGCACTGCCGTTCAATAGAGTGTCGATTAAATCTCATGGAAATCTTGATGTGTTATGTTAAGGAGTAGCAATATCAGCTAGCTAACATAAAAAGGTCACAATTTAAATGTCACGAATTTTTACCCTTGCGATAATTAAGGGTATTGCCACCAGTTACTAGACTTTTTTGCTCGTAAATAACTTTGTTCGCAGAATTCGCACGTGATAATATTACACGTGTTTTCTTTGCTTCATTATAAGTTCAAATTCAAGGAGCATTCTGCGCAATTGACACCCATGATTGGGACGACTAAGCATGGGTGTTGGATTCCAGTAGGGACCTGTCTTCTGCTGGCTGAACATTTTCGGCTATTTTAGACTATAGTCTGTCTGCTTTGTTTGTCGGCTTTAAAGTTTCTTATAATGCGTAGGTAATTTTTAAAAGATTTTTTATTTGCTTTTAATCATAGTCATTCATTCTTGTATCGCAAGTGGTACGAAGCTCCGCTTCTGCTGTTTGGAAAAATTATTTTTGACTTCGGTTTTAATGATATTGCTTGTGTACTAAAATAAGTTTTTCCAAAACAATTTTGTGAAGCTTAAGCATGACTTAAATCAAGCCACAACAATTAGTTCTAAAATCTTGTCGATTCGTGATTTTACCTCTTGTTTTGTAAATCTATGTACGATATGTAGATATGCTGAGATTTATATTAGTAATTGAATGTGCTCTTTTTTGTTTTGACTTTTTTTCTTTAGTCCATAAACCAAAACAGTATTTTGGCAACTAGATTACCAGTTCTGCCGCTTTGCCCTTAATTTTAATCATTTGTGCCTTCTGTTCTCTACATGGAAGATAGAAAAGTAAACGAACTATAAATTGGGATAATTCATCTCAATCGTTCTGATTGTAAAGCTTCAATAATAACACTAGTAATAAACATACCAAGAGAGGGTTTGTTTTTTGAAAACGGGGAACAGTAACCGTTAATAAAATATGGGGCTCTTTTTCTTTCCCCCCCCCCCCCCCCCACGTGCAAAATTTTATAAATGAAAAATTTGTTCACATTACTCGATTGTTATGTTATGAAAATTGGAATACGGACTATAAGGCCATGGCAAACATATTTGGTCTTCATAATCAACCTTGTAAAACCACTCGTTACACCATAAAATTAATTCTCGTTAGGTGGGGAGAAAAGGAAAAACAGGCTATTATAGGCAATTAGAGTGGTCGAGGGAGCTCTTTAAAATTGACTATTAGATAGCTGACAGATTGGCTCTTTTTCCTTCCCCCGTCCCACTTTTCGTCGTAAAACTAATTAGGCTATTCCTTTATATTTGTGTTTCATACGCAGCTTTGTTAGACCTCAGTTTATAGTTTACACCAAAAACTTGATGCTAATGTGAAGTTGGGGGGGGGGGGGGGGGGGGGGAGAGGAGGGGATGGGGATGGGGGTAAAGATCTGAGAGATCTTGTAAGTAATAAGAAGACTTTATAGCTGATGCTCATCAACTGGACTGGCGAGAAGCATATTCATTTTCAAAACGATTAAAATTATTTTTGGTACTTTCACTATAGAACTATAGAAGGTTATGTATCAAGTATGGTCTTCAATGTATTCGGCACGTGCGTACTAGTGGCGGAAACATCATTGTTCGTTATTTCAGATCGCATCTTAATGATGCCCTTAAACGAAAGCTTATGACAGTTATTTGAGCGAACTTATTGCCTAAATACGAGAATCAATTGTACAGTGAATAGAAATTAGTCGAGCAAAATGAATATAAGTGCCGGATATTCGAGTGACAGTCAAGACAATGCAATGAGTTCAAACAATGCCACAGGCATCAGCATCACGGCCACTGCCCAGTTCGGAGTCACACACATTCCCCAGCAGAGTCCGGCATCTTCCAGTGAAAATGACTCAGCATCCTCAGCAGTAACACCTGGCAACACACCCTCTTCTACGTTGAGGCCACTGAGTAGCATGCAAAGTGCAGCAGTGGGGTCCGTACATCACTCGGGAAACGTGGTCTGCGCAACAGCTCCGGCCACGTCGAGTAGCACGAACAACAATGCAGTCGCTTCTACATCCTCAGATCACATCTTGTTTCCCCAACATCACAACCTCTCATCAACAGGTATACCAATTGAAATCATTGAATAGAGATTTTCACATAATAAAAGGGTTATTTTATGTGAATAGTCCGTGCACAGAAAGAGAAAAAAGTCCATGTTTTGGTTTGTGCACAAAAGAGAAGTCTTCTCCGTATTTGAATTCGTATCTAACTCTCTTGACTTATAATTTGTTGCAGTCGTGCATTCTTCTGCTCATTCCGGTGCTGTTATATCTGGAGGAGGGGCGGGAGATGTGAGCATGCATGGGGGTGGTCTGTTCGCTGAGAACTGGGGTCACACGCTGGTGAAGATCATCAAGTTCTCCTACATGTGGACCATCAGCAACTTCAGTTATTGCCGCGAGGAGATGGGGGAGACATTGCGAAGCACATCTTTTTCAACACCCCTCAATGACAAAATGAAGTGGTAGGTCCACATCTAGATATGACTCTATATTTTGTAAGCTGACAAGAATAATTTAATTAGATATCACTCTATATTTTGTAAGCTGACAAGAATAATTTAATTCCAGTCAGCTAGTTGTCGAAGGGCCGTGAAGGTTTCAAGCAACTATTGCATGTCATATCTCATTAAAAGTATGAACTTAGAAAGGCGATCAGTTTTGAAAAGGAGCTTATTTGCAGGTTTTCAAGACCAAATTTATATTTTAACCTTTGAGAGGATGGATGAGTTGTTTAGCTTGAGTGTGGTCTCTTCTATATCTAATCAGTTGTGTTGCTTTGCATGTACAGGTGTCTGCGGGTGAATCCGAAGGGACTGGACGAGGAGTCGAAAGAGTATCTGAGTCTGTATCTCTATCTGGTGGCATGCAACAAGAACGAGATCAGAGCCAAGTTCAAGTTCTCCATCCTCAATGGAAAAGGAGAGGAGACCAAGGCCATGGGTAAGTAAGCCAACCGCCAAACTCTATAAGCCCCAATTAACTCTTTCTCGCTTAATCGGCAATACATCTTGGAAATTTTCCAGTCCCCCTTGTTTTTTCTGAAATTCAAAGTATCAGGTCATGTAAGTGACTTTTTCTGCAATAGACTGCATTAAAGCTTGTCGGCGTGAACAGGTGAACAAATTTTTACAATATTTCACACATGCAAATTGCGGTGTGAACAATTTTTGAACAGTGTTCTTTTTAAGTTTTACATGGGGGTGGGAAACTGGCAAATAGTCTGCATTTCACATGGGTTTACATGACACGTGTGATGATTGAGAAGACTCAGTTTAGATTTTTATTGATTGATAATTATAGTAGCGAACGCAAATATATTGTAACAGGATACTATGGTGCTGATTTTTGCTCTTTTCCAGTTTCCCACCCCCTCGTAAAATCGCAAAATTAAGCTTTCCATAAATTTTTCACACGGTTTTTTGCATGCAAGAAATGTTATAAAAAGTTGTTTAGCTGTCAAAGGGCGGAACTGGAAAGGAGACCTCATTTTTTGGGGATTATACTCAACTTTGTTTGTCTTCATAAGAGACTCACTTTAATACAGTTTTGTTAGTAAATGACCCGGTAGTTTCAGCTGTTAATTTTGATTGGCCAAAATCCAAAAATGAGCCTTTTTTGTGGTAACGTTTTGGTCCCGAATTTCGCCATAATTCTAAGCAACTTCATCATTTTTCAACTCAACTCAACCCAATTTGAGAAAAACGCGTTTTAAACTTCAGGTCTTCCGGATAATTTAAATCAGCATTAAACTGTTTCGACGTTCAAAATCAAACTTCGTCTTTATTTGTTTTGTCCGCTATCTTATTTTCACGCATTCAATCTGATTTGTTGCCATTTTCAACTTTTAAAATAAACGGTTTCGTATAATTTAAATTGCATCGTTGATGGAGAAAAAAGTTATAAACATTTTTACACTTGCGATCTTTAGTGAGCGTTAGTGTTATAATACCACTATTCTTTTTTCTAACCTAAGTCGCAATTATTGGTGCCACTTTTGGGGCACCTGGCTTTTTGATAGCATGTGCATTGACATTCGAATATTAATACGTTAACACAGTTTTGCATTTTTACAATTGCGAACTTTAGTGAGTTAGTGTTATATTACGACTGTTCGTGTATTTCTGTCTGACATTACATTTCCGAGATCTAGTGTTTGATAATCGGGAACAACGCTTTGGAATGAAGTTGAAATTGGAGTTGCTTTATTATTGCAACTCCGAGAGGTCATCCCTCTTGGTCTAGAGTTAACGTGGTTTTCTGTGCACTTCAAGGCTTGGGGATTGAGTCCCGCCCGGACCTTAGTTTTTTCAGTGTGTATGAAATTGAAGAAAAAAATCCGGGAAAAAAATTAATGATCGGACTTCCGTTTGTCTGCTCATGTTTTGCCGGCTAAGTTGCCACATTGTGGATTTTTTGTGCGGTCAGCTATTTTTAATAAAAATATTAGCCCTGACTTTGTTTATTCCCTATGTTTTGTTGTTTTTGGGCATAAAAGCTTTATTGGACCTAAACGTTTTCGGTTGATGTTTTATTGGCTTAGTTACCTTGATTTGTGTTGCTTAAAAAGCAACAATGATCGATTTTAAAAATCAGCTAGTTTGTGTTTCATTTTTTTTGCACGTGATGTGAGCAAGGAGCGAAAGCTTGAAAGCTAGTAAATTAGCCATAGTCAACTACAGTTGTCTTCGAAAAATGAATAACAAAGCAAAAATATATTTCAATATATTTTTTTTTGTTTTAAGATGATTACCTAGCAAATTTTCATTGCGAAGTCTTATCATTTTTTGTGATAGCAGGTTGGCTCTTTTTCCTTCCCCCCCCCCCCCCCCCCCCCCACCTCACGCCAGTTTCAACTTATTAGTGTAACGAGTGGTTTTACGAGGTTGAGTATGAAGACCGAATATGTTTGTCGTGGCCTTATTAGTCTGTATGTAAATTTTCATATCAATTGGACAATGTGGTCAACAAATTTACATGTAAAAATATGCAGGTGGGGGGGGGGGGGAAGGAAAAAGAGCCAGCAGGTTTTCCGTGAAAAGAACTAAAACTTAAACGCACCCGAAGACACAAAGTTTACCCCTTCTCTCTGGGGGGCTGTGGAAAAAAGTCTTTATTTTTGTATCTTTGCTTTTCTTCAGTGTACAAGTTTAATGCGTGATTCAGATTATAATTTTCACTTGTTTGTTAAGTAATATTTAGTCAAATGCTCCATTTTCATATGCGGCTTTCATGCGTCCCAATCTTGGAGTTTATAGTAATTTTTTAAGAATTAAATGCCTATCGAATTATATACCTCAATCCAATAAATACATAAACTGTTTAATATAGTTTATGTATGATTGTGAATTGGTTGTTATGTTGATGATTGATTTTAGAGAGCCAGAGGGCGTACAGATTTGTGCAGGGGAAGGACTGGGGCTTCAAGAAATTCATCAGACGGGATTTCCTGTTAGACGAGATCAACGGACTAATTTGCGATGACAAACTCACCATTTACTGCGAGGTATAACATCCCTTGGATAATGCCTGTTAAATATTGTATGTAATGAAAAGTCTATTTGCATGAGGCTTTTATAAGCAAAAAGGAGAAGACAGTAATGTATGGGTTTGACGGTTCAATATTATGGTGTAACGAGTGCTTTTGCAAGGTAAGTCTGAAAATCTGATTTATTTGCAATAGGCACTTTAGTTTGGGTGCCAATTTTATGGCAAGCGCAAGTTATGAACACAATTTGGAACAAATGAAGTTTTGCATGTGTAGGAAGAAAAACGAGCCAATTTTGATATAAAAATTCATGCATGAATAAATTAAAGCCATATTTCAAGTTGAGACGCTTTATTCACGAGGGAGATGGCCAGCATACGAGCTGTTCAATTCTTGCAAATAACCCCTGTTGGGCCACTTTTACTGTATACAGGAATTTTTGGCTCTTCCAGTTTCCCCCCGCCCCTTTCATTTTTTCTGAAATTCATTACATGAAAGTCTTTTTAAAATAATTTTAATGTTATAAACTGCATTAAAACGTGTCAGCGTGAACAGCTGAACAAATTTTCACAACATTTCTAACATGAAAATTGCCGTGTGAACAATTTTTGAACATCTCTTTTTGTAATTTAACAAAGGGGGGGACTGGAAAAGAGCCGAATTTTTGGTTATTTTTCTGGGTTGGGCAATATGACATGTTTAAGCAGGTAAAAAGTGCAGGTGGGGGAAATGGTAGAGCCGACCTAGCTACTAAATCAATTTAACCTGAAAATCTACTATGTTTTTAAAACATTGTTTCACGCGCAATTTTTTGGTGGTAGGGGAAATAAGAAAAAGCCTGTATTTTTGCTTAGAAGAGCAATATGACAAAAGCGCATAAAAATCAAAAAGCACGTGGCAATTCATTAGATTGAGACAAGAAGACCTGTGAAAGTATTATGCAACCCTGATATGTGAAAGAAGGTCAACAGAGAAGTTCAATTGAAACTAAAGGCGCGAACTTTATTATAACTTGAACTGAATAGAACTTTGAATAGACTAGTAATTATTTATCAACTGTTGTCGCCTCGACATGCGGCCATTTCCCACCAGAAGAAAGAAGTACGATGGGATTGCTGGTAGTGGTTTGCAGGTGAGTGTGGTGATGGACTCTCTGAGCTTCGGAGGCACTACCAACCCGGCTGCCCAGAGGATCCCAGAGTGCAGACTGAGTCAGGACATGGGGTCTCTTCTGGAACAGGGTGTCCTCACAGACGTCGTGTTGGCTGTGGGGCCGAACCAGGAAGTATCGGCCCACAAAGCGATTCTAGCAGGTCACTTGAGATTTAAGTTGTCATCTGTTAGTGTATTCAATTCAAGATTTTTTTTTTCGTTTCGCACACCTCTCGTAAACTTACCAAATAAAACTGTTCAAAATATGTTCGCGCGACATTTTGCATAGAATTTTTTGCATATTTTTCATTTTATGTTTTTTCCATTTCCCCCGCCACATTTTAATTTCAGTTTTGAAGAACTAATTTAGCATTGTCATAATGTTATGAAATTTTTCATGGTGAAAAACTAACAATTGCGAGATTTGTTCTTCATACCTTACATCGTAAGATCACGCTTTAGTCATAATCAAAACAACTTAGAAAAATGAACATTTGAAATGTGAATACTTTCATAAATTGGTTATAACTTATAAGTCACATATGAATGCCCTTAGGTTTAAATGCACTTTTTGAGCTCAATTCAAGTTCATTTGCTCGGCAAAATGCACGCTTCAATTATGAAAGCTGAAATAGCGCAAAAGAAACGAGCTTGATTTTTAGTTTCGAAAAGCGATTTAGTTTTTTGATTTCCCAGTGGAATAACAATTCCTAATAATTCAGTTTTCTCAAATTGGGATATTTTATCAAAAAGTGCCAATCATATTTAGCTTTGAAATTCAAAGAGCTTTAAGGCCAAATGTTTTTGGTTTGAAATTCGAAAGTTGAGATTTTTCAAAAAGTAAGTCGGTTTTTTTTTCTGTTTACTTGCGTTCATTGACTCCTTTCCAACTGTCTGTTGGTTACGTTATTCTAAATTATGACATGCAAATTTTTGTCTTTTTGTATTTGCTGCCACTTATGCTGCATCGCATTGGCATTTTATTAGCATATGTTGCTGTATATTTGTGAATAATGGTAGTAAGTTTTCAAGAAATCGCGGCGCAGATGTGAGGACATGGTATTCTAAATCTCCTGGTTGTAGGATCGAATCCGGTGCAGAAAAATCAATTTTCACGTCTTATTATTATTTTTAAATTTCACTATATAGATTTCACTGCTTTTTGTCGTTTTCTCAATAGTGTTTGCAAAGCGCTGATTCGCTTCTGTCTAATGCTAAGAAACTTGGCATGATGAACAACCTAACAATTATGAACCGATTTGTGCTCAATACCTTGCATCCTAACTTTCCGCATTTACCAATAGTTTCACGTAAAACAATAATAAATATTGAAAGGTGAAGGAACATGAAAAAGAGCCAACTGGATCAATGAATAATTTTTATTCCGCTGGGGCATCTAAAAGTTAATGGAAGAGCATAAATTCACTTCCTTTAAGCAAATAATATTCTTTATTTATCAAATTTTATCCCCACCTTTCAAATTTTGTTTATTTATAGTCTTACGTCTGCTTATAGCTAGTTGAAATGTTTCCATGTAAGGTATGAAAAACAAAATTTTTCACAATTGTTAGTTCGATCACCATGCAAATTTTTATTTCATTATGACTACAGAAAATTAGTTTTTCAAATTTGCAACTCAAATGGGGGAATTGGAAAAGAGCCGGCAAACATTAGTAAGATTAGAAACAAGGCACAAAGAGCTGGCAGGGTTTCGTCCCCCTCACCAACCTTTGGTGTTAATTGCTGACATCAATTTTTAGCTAACCAACCCTAAAACTTTCTCAAGACGCCTTTGGCGCCAATATATACTAATTTTGAACGGGAGCGCGCGCCAAAAACCTTATTTTTTCAGGACAAAATTTTCCAATAAGTGCCTGCTGCGCATTTTTTTTGTGAAATTAGGATTTTAGTGTTCTGGGAGCCCTCGGTAAATCAATTTGGTCAACCTGAAAAAAGATCGACAAATTTTTTTGAAAATACCTTCCCCTCGAGAAAATCCGTGAAAAACCCACCCCTGTTTTCAATTCAAATTTGTTACGCTTACGATAAGCAAGTGCTATCAAACTGGAATATAGACTTTTTTCTAGTTTAACAAAATCAGTTGAATCATTTCTGCAGCAACCAAACATGCTCAATCTCTTGAAAATTAAAATTTAACTACTGGCTGAGTACTAGTTCCTACAGGGTAGTCTCAGGGGGGCTTGCAACTTTTTAAAGTTTTTTATTTAGTCAGTTTTTATTCGGCTCAACTGGTGTCTGCTCAAAGATTGTCTGCATTGTTTCCGCTTTGTAGTTTCGACCGGAAAATACCCTTTTATGTCTGAGTTTGGAAGGAGCGGGTTCTAGGAAGCTCATTTGCATACGCGACCACGCCCAAATTAAAAAAAAAATTATGGACACGGGAAAAGTCGAAATTGTGATTTTTCGACTGGTTTTTAAATTGACTTTTCTCGAGAATTAACCGGCCAAACCTAGGTTTTTGCATTCAATCGAAATAACAGATTGGGTGAATCTCTTCTACAAAAGCGGCTACGCTCAATTTTTTTAAAACAAAATGTTATAATTCTCGGAAATGTCAGCTCTCTAATTTGTTGACCGTTTTTTGGTCTTTTTCTCGACAACTATCCTCCCAAAACTGATATTTTAGGTTTAATCGAGCCAACAGGTTGATGAAAGCTTAACTTTTTTTTAAATTTGCTACTCTCAGTGTCTGTCAGAAAAAAGTTATGGCCATTAAACAAATGAAAGTTTCGAAAATTGGACAGTTTTTTGGAAGTTAGACTCGAAAATTACTTGCCCATTCTCAGATTAAGTGTTCAATTGAGAAATAAGGTTTCGAGAATCTTCCCTACTTTACTGGTCACGACCTGCTTTTAGTAGAAAAAAAATTACTGATCATTGAATTTTGACTATTTTATAAACTTTTTGAATTTTCTTAAAAACTACCTTATCAAATCTGATATGAAAATTTCAATCGAAAGAAGCGTTTGCTTGAATTTTTCCTGCAGAAGCGGGTACTCCTTAATTTTGTGTAAAAAAGGCTAGGTATTTGAGAAAATTCCAAAATCTCAAAAATTTTCACTCTTCTCAATTTAGTTCAGAAACAACTAAGGTTTTGGGCAAAGTTTAATTTTTGAAATTACGCATTTGTCCCGCATCAGTATAACAAATTCGAAAAAATTAATGATTAGCTCCTGCTTTAGCTGAGCCCTAGGTGTCCTTCATCGAGAGATACAAAAATTTTGGTTCACCTAGTTTTTTCAACATTTTTTCGACTCTTGCTTTTCGACTCATTTTCATGCTTATTTATGATTCTGCTGTATCGCAAGTGGTGCGAAGCTCCGCTTTGCCTCTGTGTTCCTAAAATCTTTTTCCTCCTCCCCACCTCAATTTTAGATCAGTTTTATTGCGTAACGAGGAGTTTTACAATGGAAAGTATGAAGACTAAATACGTTTTTCATAGTCTTAATAACGACCATGCCATGTTTAGTAACAATCAGACAATGTGAATGAAAATCTGTTTGTAACGTTTCTAAAGGGAGAAAAGGAAAAAGAGCCGACAATTTAACGCTCTTAAATAACGAAAATGCAGATGGCTCTGTCATTTAGACCGCAATTTCAAGTTGTAATAATTTGTCATGTTTTAGCGCGAAGTCGAGTGTTCAGTGCAATGTTTTCCTCCAATATGGAAGAACAGCAGAAGGTTAGAGAGCTGTTCGTATGGTCGACTATTTAAACAAACAAAGGAAAGGAGACCAAGCAAAGCTTGTGTTATAGTATGAACTCTCTTTTTTTCCAACCTAAGTCGCAAATATTGTTGCGACAAAATGTGTTAATTTTGAAAGCGTTCATTTTGATCAGTAACCAGATATTAAGTACAGCCATTGCTAAGGATATTAACACAGACTATTATATTATAGTTATCACTTAAGCTTACAGGTATCATGGATCTGTAGCGTAGAGGTAGGGAAGGAGACCCGCAACAAAATAAGAGGGTTCAAACCTGGGCAGTGTCGGATGTTTTCGACTTTTTCGTATACCAGTTAAAATGCGTCCGCTCTATAAATTGAGGCATGTTAGTTGGTAAATTTTTCTTATTTTTTTTTTTCAAATTGGCTGGTACTGCTAATGCGTCATGATTGGCTTGCGTCACTTAGCAATTAGGTGGACTTATAATTGGCGTGCGGCTTGAGAAATTTTGCAGACTCAAAGTTTTAATCATTCAGTTTTTCCCAGTATCGTTATCGGTCATGTTTTGGCTTGTGTGTACAGCTTCGCCTCTGTAAACATCGTTACATCGTTAGCCCCCTCCCAGCTCAGTATCAATTATATTATAAGGGAGGGGGTTTGATTGGCGAGAGTCTGGTTCTTTTCCAAACCACCCCTTGAATTTAAAGAAGCACACCTTGAAAGGCTGTTTGAAGTAACTCCTACTAATCATAGTTAATTTTGAGGCATACGAATGGGATTATGAATAATCTATCTCAGAGGACTTAATATTGTAACTTGACAAAGTAATGGGTCGCACATTATATTCTCAATGAGTCTTTGCGGTATGGAGCTACCAAGCTTTTTTCCGTTGACTAGGGTCGCGTGGAGATTCTAGACGTAGACTTTCCTGTTCTGAAGGAGATGCTTCATTATATCTACACGGGCAGTGCACCCAACATCGACAGTATGGCAGAAGCACTCATAGCCGCAGCAGACAAAGTAGGTCTTGCTTTTAATCAAGTATTGTTAATCATACATTTTACTTTTCTAGTTGATTCTACTTTCGTTTTAATGACCGATCGAGAGCCTAGGTTAATCTTCAAAGGCATTTTTGGCTATTCGGCCTCCATACCGAAACTTGAAAATTTCCCGAATACAGCAAGAAATTGATGTTTGTGTTGGTAAAAGAAGGAATTTTTTAGAGCAGTTTAATAAGCCCAATTTATTATTACGCATGCGATACGTAAGCGGTATCAAATCGGCAATAAAGAATTTTTTTTATATAAATAAACAACTTGTCTAGCAGAATCACGTAATCATTATGTCAAAGCTGTTCTTTATCGAAATTCATTTTTAAAATTCTATGAACGTATTTCAGACTCTTATATGGGCCGTGAACATTTTTTTTTTTCCTATTGTTCTCTGGAAAAGTCTTAAAATGCTCATATATTTTACAGAAGTGCATTCATACATATTAGTGCATTTATGAATGCTGTAGGTATATATGCATTTTTGAGCTTAGTTAAATTTTATTTTATATTTCGGTAAACTGCTCTCTCCAATTACGAAAGTGGAAAAGTCACGATAAACGTGATCGACTCGTAGTTTCGAAAGTTCGAGTTTTCTAGTTTCGAAATTCAAGTTCCAGCGGAATAAAAATTTACACTTTTGATTCAGTTTTTTTAATTTGATTTAATTTTATCAATAGAGTGTCAATCTTAAAGTGTTCTCGAAACTCAAAAGAGCGGTAAAGCCATATTATTCAATTCTTTAAGATTGAAAATAAAAATTTTTTTTTTGAAAAACAAGTCGTTTTTTGTTTCTTGCGTTCATTAAATCTTTTTCCAGTCTATTTGCTATGTTTTAATATGTTGATTGAAAATTTGATTTGGTCTCATATCAGTTTTTAATAGTCGATAAACGTTGTTCAGACTCCTATATAGGTCGCGATGATTTTTTTTCAGGAACAAATTTACTTTTCACGGTTTGGCCATGATTTCTTGTTATTTTCAGTTCATTTCTTTTGTTAAAAAGAAGGCAAGCTCCACTATCGAACGGCAAAAGTGTACAGGCCAGGAGATACATGACCGACTTCTAGTTTCGAAAGTGGAATTTAATTTTTAGATTTCCCAGCGGAATAAAAACATTACCTATTGATCCAGTTTTATCAAATTGAGTTAATTTAATAAAAAAAACTCTTAATCATAAATTGTTCTTGAAATTGAAAAAGTTCTATTTTTTTCTTTAAGTTTCGAAAGTTGAATGTTGGCTATAATCTATTTGTTCGTTTCAGAAGGCTTCGGTTTTTATCATGTTGGGCATGCGTGTTTTTATGCGTGTTTTGAGGGGCGTAAAAAAGTATTGCCGGCTTTGTTACAGCTTCAGAAGTTTTTTGCTATGCTGATTCCATTCCTATACATTTTTTGTTGGTTTTACTCGGCTTTTTTCAAATTGAACTTTGTTCATGACAAATCGAGACATCGAAATTTTGATTGATTTTTTTTTTGTTTTCGTTATTTGAAAATTCAATTTAGTTATGGGTTTCCGTCTTATTTTCTATCGGCTCTTCGGCTATGCTATCATGTGATATCTTAATTTTTTGTCAATTCAAGTTCAGGGTCTGAGTCTGATGTTTTGGAATTGAGGATAACGTCAATTCCTGGGGTGACACAGGTCCAAGGTTCGAGTCCGACCTGGACTTGTTTGTTTGAACATGAGCATTTTTGCTTGAAAATACAATCTTCAGACTGTCGTTTGTCTAATTGAAGGTCAATTAACGTTGTGAAGAAACTTATCATAGGTCGTATTGATTTTTTCTATGTTGATCATATATTTTTGTTTCAAAAAGATCTTTTTTAGACAAATTTGGATACTTATCAAAGGTCGTGTTTTTTTTGCTGGTCGTACATTTTTTTTTATCAAAATGAATTTTTATAGAAGATGAATCCCAGTGGAATGAAAAAAAATAACTAGTAACAATCAGACAATGTGAATGAAAATCTGTTTGTAACGTTTCTAAAGGGAGAAAAGGAAAAAGAGCCGACAATTTAACGCTCTTAAATAACGAAAATGCAGATGGCTCTGTCATTTAGACCGCAATTTCAAGTTGTAATAATTTGTCATGTTTTAGCGCGAAGTCGAGTGTTCAGTGCAATGTTTTCCTCCAATATGGAAGAACAGCAGAAGGTTAGAGAGCTGTTCGTATGGTCGACTATTTAAACAAACAAAGGAAAGGAGACCAAGCAAAGCTTGTGTTATAGTATGAACTCTCTTTTTTTCCAACCTAAGTCGCAAATATTGTTGCGACAAAATGTGTTAATTTTGAAAGCGTTCATTTTGATCAGTAACCAGATATTAAGTACAGCCATTGCTAAGGATATTAACACAGACTATTATATTATAGTTATCACTTAAGCTTACAGGTATCATGGATCTGTAGCGTAGAGGTAGGGAAGGAGACCCGCAACAAAATAAGAGGGTTCAAACCTGGGCAGTGTCGGATGTTTTCGACTTTTTCGTATACCAGTTAAAATGCGTCCGCTCTATAAATTGAGGCATGTTAGTTGGTAAATTTTTCTTATTTTTTTTTTTCAAATTGGCTGGTACTGCTAATGCGTCATGATTGGCTTGCGTCACTTAGCAATTAGGTGGACTTATAATTGGCGTGCGGCTTGAGAAATTTTGCAGACTCAAAGTTTTAATCATTCAGTTTTTCCCAGTATCGTTATCGGTCATGTTTTGGCTTGTGTGTACAGCTTCGCCTCTGTAAACATCGTTACATCGTTAGCCCCCTCCCAGCTCAGTATCAATTATATTATAAGGGAGGGGGTTTGATTGGCGAGAGTCTGGTTCTTTTCCAAACCACCCCTTGAATTTAAAGAAGCACACCTTGAAAGGCTGTTTGAAGTAACTCCTACTAATCATAGTTAATTTTGAGGCATACGAATGGGATTATGAATAATCTATCTCAGAGGACTTAATATTGTAACTTGACAAAGTAATGGGTCGCACATTATATTCTCAATGAGTCTTTGCGGTATGGAGCTACCAAGCTTTTTTCCGTTGACTAGGGTCGCGTGGAGATTCTAGACGTAGACTTTCCTGTTCTGAAGGAGATGCTTCATTATATCTACACGGGCAGTGCACCCAACATCGACAGTATGGCAGAAGCACTCATAGCCGCAGCAGACAAAGTAGGTCTTGCTTTTAATCAAGTATTGTTAATCATACATTTTACTTTTCTAGTTGATTCTACTTTCGTTTTAATGACCGATCGAGAGCCTAGGTTAATCTTCAAAGGCATTTTTGGCTATTCGGCCTCCATACCGAAACTTGAAAATTTCCCGAATACAGCAAGAAATTGATGTTTGTGTTGGTAAAAGAAGGAATTTTTTAGAGCAGTTTAATAAGCCCAATTTATTATTACGCATGCGATACGTAAGCGGTATCAAATCGGCAATAAAGAATTTTTTTTATATAAATAAACAACTTGTCTAGCAGAATCACGTAATCATTATGTCAAAGCTGTTCTTTATCGAAATTCATTTTTAAAATTCTATGAACGTATTTCAGACTCTTATATGGGCCGTGAACATTTTTTTTTTCCTATTGTTCTCTGGAAAAGTCTTAAAATGCTCATATATTTTACAGAAGTGCATTCATACATATTAGTGCATTTATGAATGCTGTAGGTATATATGCATTTTTGAGCTTAGTTAAATTTTATTTTATATTTCGGTAAACTGCTCTCTCCAATTACGAAAGTGGAAAAGTCACGATAAACGTGATCGACTCGTAGTTTCGAAAGTTCGAGTTTTCTAGTTTCGAAATTCAAGTTCCAGCGGAATAAAAATTTACACTTTTGATTCAGTTTTTTTAATTTGATTTAATTTTATCAATAGAGTGTCAATCTTAAAGTGTTCTCGAAACTCAAAAGAGCGGTAAAGCCATATTATTCAATTCTTTAAGATTGAAAATAAAAAATTTTTTTTTGAAAAACAAGTCGTTTTTTGTTTCTTGCGTTCATTAAATCTTTTTCCAGTCTATTTGCTATGTTTTAATATGTTGATTGAAAATTTGATTTGGTCTCATATCAGTTTTTAATAGTCGATAAACGTTGTTCAGACTCCTATATAGGTCGCGATGATTTTTTTTCAGGAACAAATTTACTTTTCACGGTTTGGCCATGATTTCTTGTTATTTTCAGTTCATTTCTTTTGTTAAAAAGAAGGCAAGCTCCACTATCGAACGGCAAAAGTGTACAGGCCAGGAGATACATGACCGACTTCTAGTTTCGAAAGTGGAATTTAATTTTTAGATTTCCCAGCGGAATAAAAACATTACCTATTGATCCAGTTTTATCAAATTGAGTTAATTTAATAAAAAAAACTCTTAATCATAAATTGTTCTTGAAATTGAAAAAGTTCTATTTTTTTCTTTAAGTTTCGAAAGTTGAATGTTGGCTATAATCTATTTGTTCGTTTCAGAAGGCTTCGGTTTTTATCATGTTGGGCATGTGGCCAACTTTTGCGTCGTTTGGTCTTCGAAAAAAGTTCGTTTTTATGCGTGTTTTGAGGGGCGTAAAAAAGTATTGCCGGCTTTGTTACAGCTTCAGAAGTTTTTTCCTATGCTGATTCCATTCCTATACATTTTTTGTTGGTTTTACTCGGCTTTTTTCAAATTGAACTTTGTTCATGACAAATCGAGACATCGAAATTTTGATTGATTTTTTTTTTGTTTTCGTTATTTGAAAATTCAATTTAGTTATGGGTTTCCGTCTTATTTTCTATCGGCTCTTCGGCTATGCTATCATGTGATATCTTAATTTTTTGTCAATTCAAGTTCAGGGTCTGAGTCTGATGTTTTGGAATTGAGGATAACGTCAATTCCTGGGGTGACACAGGTCCAAGGTTCGAGTCCGACCTGGACTTGTTTGTTTGAACATGAGCATTTTTGCTTGAAAATACAATCTTCAGACTGTCGTTTGTCTAATTGAAGGTCAATTAACGTTGTGAAGAAACTTATCATAGGTCGTATTGATTTTTTCTATGTTGATCATATATTTTTGTTTCAAAAAGATCTTTTTTAGACAAATTTGGATACTTATCAAAGGTCGTGTTTTTTTTGCTGGTCGTACATTTTTTTTTATCAAAATGAATTTTTATAGAAGATGAATCCCAGTGGAATGAAAAAAAATAACTATTGATCCTTCTTCTCATTTTTGGTTAGTGTTATCCAAGAAGTGGGATCATTTATAATTCATAGAACTGTAAGGCCATATAAATTTTTGCAAATGTTTTAATAAGTACGCAAGCGTTATTAAATCGGATTAACAATATTTTGGGTCAACAGTTTGCTTAACAAAATGATTTGAATCACTGGACAGCTCCTGCACTCCATTCACTTGCTGACATGCTCAACTTCTTGAAAGTTAAGATGAAACTACTGCGAGTTATCTTATATCAGTACTGATTAGTCGGTTTATTATGTGTCTGCTCGGTTAATGCCGACTTTGAACAGTTTGAACAGCATAAACTTCAGTCAAATTCCGTTTTTCAACAAAAATGAAAGCCAATTTGCTTATTTCCTGCAATTTGTAAATGAAAAGGATCCGATTTTGTATAATTTCGTGTTCATTTTTTTTGTATAAAAGATTCAATCGTCCTGAATAGTTTCAGCCTTTATATGGCTTTATTTGGAGGTTTAATGATAGTTTTTTTACGCGTGTGCTTCAGAGTGTCAAATTTTCTAGTTTATTTAGTGACAACAAATTTGTTTACAGCGGGTGTCTACCAAAAAATTTCGGCATAATTACCGCTAGATACCTATGTCGTGATGCAATTCAACGCTGGGATTTGTGTTTCAAGATATGTTTTCTGACAATTGAGATTCATTCGCCAATAAACGTATAAACATTTTGCTAGAGGCAGTTTTCTTTGGTTTGTTTATGTCTGCTAGCTCGCAAAGCTATGTTTGTGATTTATCGCAAGTGTAGCAAAAGTCTGCTTCGCCTGACTTTTTTAATTTCTTTTTAGTTCATTGAAACTTCGCACTGTTTGTTTACTCTATTATGTCTATCGCAAGTGATATGACGCGGAGCTGCGCCTCGCTGTCATTATAGGAAGTTGGAACAGAGCCAATTTCAGTCCTCAAATCTTACTCTGTTATGTCAATTTTGGCAAATGAATACTTTTGAACCCTTTTTCGAATGTTTTAATTAGCATATTAACAAAATTTAAATGTTTTCCTAAAATTAACTGTATTACGATGGGGATAAAAAAATATTTAATTGTCGCAATTTCAGACTTCCTGATTTTGCGTGATATTACGGATAGAAAATGCGTTGTAGCATTATGTTCAAATAACGGTTAATTTGTTCACCATGCCGAATTTGAAATGCGGTGAAGTAAACGCTGGCTCCAATTTTTGAAACTGAAAATTTAAAATAAGAAAGGATTGAAAATATTTGGAGAGGGAATTAGGTTTTAATTGTTTATAATAAAAGGTTTAGTTGTATGCCATTTTATTTAGTATGACTTGCAGAGGTTAAAATACATGTGTCAAGACACGTTGTGTGCCAACCTGAACGTAGAAAATGCGGCCAATGTGCTCATGCTTGCCGACATGCACAATGCGGAAGAACTGAAAACAGCAGCAATCGACTTCCTTAACTTCAGACCCCACGAAGTGATGGAAACAGATTCGTGGAAGAACCTGCTGAGCAGTAGGCCCTCCCTCATTTCAGAGGCTTACAAGGCCTTAGCCTTAGTCCATTCACCAGGGTCGCCGCCGAGGAAGAAACCCAAAATTATAACTACTGCTCCTTCCAATTCTTACAACAACGCCCCCAGCTCAACCCCGATTTGAGGACATTTTTGAACGTCCTTTTAACGCCATTCTCGCAAGCTCAGAGTCTCATTGAGCTGAGTCAAAAGAAGATGTTGCGAAGTGTTTCCTGCCTTAAGTGTTCAAACATTACTCTGATTAGTTCGATTAAATTGAAGTGTTAATGAGCGAAATGGTTTGATAGTTCGCTCTATTTGAGTTATTTTTGCCAAGAACGTATGAATGATAAAAGATTCTGGATATTGAAAAGGTTTGTCAATTACTCTCCCAAACTTCCCATTTGAAAGACAAAGAGCCTTAAATTTGCGTTTCTAAGTTTCCCTGAGTTCATTAACACTTTTCCAACTGTCTGTCGGCTATGATAATAATTGAATTTGTGCATATTTTGTTGTTATGATGTTACCATAAATCTCTCGATTCTTATATTTAATACAGCAAATTATATTCATACAATGTTTAAAAATAGATGCTCCGTTGTTGTTAGTTTTCAGCTCACTTCTTGCTAAGGGTATTGTCTGATTTCTTCTGTTGGCGCGCAAACAACTCTCGTGATATTAGTTGGTCGCCTTTCGTTTTGTCGAACCACTTTTGACATGGAAACACCGAAGTTTGCTCTCGGTTTTTGTCTAGTATTTCTACGCGGTCCAAATACCAGGCAGCACCTTGCCCGGAATTGTCATGCTCGATGATTATTTTCTGCATTTCTCCGACGTCGCCAAACTTCAAATCGAACGAATCCAGCTGTTTTCTCTCGAATTTGTTGATGTTCTCCTTGGAGTCTGCCAGTTTGTGTTTGCCACTGTTGCCTTTGCTGCCAAACACTGTTATAAACACATTGGAGTCAGTCCCTGAAATGAAAATAACATGTTGATAGAAACGCCCCCATTTTGTTCTATTTCAATATACCAAAAAGAGAAGATACTAATATAGCGCCTACCCATGATTTAGTTTTTTAATTGACTGTGAACATTTGGGACGTGTTTTTTTAAAAAAATTTTTCTTGAGTGTTGATTTCTGAATTCTTGTGCTCTCCACTTTTTTTGGCAAATGACCTTCTGCGATAACGGAAGTGCTACTGGCGGAAAAACGTGCAAGACTTTTCTGCGAAGTTTTTTGTTGTTCAATTTTAAGAATTCGCAGAGCAACTGCAGCAAATATCAAGCGTAAATTGAAAGAGGCTTAAGATATTCTTGGAATGTTCTTGAGTTCACGAAAACTTTTGCTATTGTTGGATATGTTTGTTTTAATTATTTAATACAAGCGAAGCTTTGATATAGAGCTATTACCTTTTTATAATGTAACGGACCTATTGTTTTTTTCCACAGCGATTGTGCAAACCTGTTCTTTTGGCGTTTGAACTCAAGAAGCATGAGTTAGCTAGCAGTTCAATTTTTTTTAATTAATGAGCAATGATTCGTGACTGATATATTTGTCCAGCATTTATCAACAAAGTAGATGTCAGGCGACAGGTTAACGTATTTGCGTACGAAGCAGCACTGGATGAGCTCGATGTTCAAGTATTTAAAGTTCTGTGCAAGACTTCATTATCGTAGGGCTTGTTTGCATTTCCAAGCTCAAATTTTCCAATTTTTTGCTTGTTGGCCAAAAGCAACTTCGTGCGATATTGTCCCGCAGACGAAGAGTTTAATGATTGGGTGTCATCTAACTGCCTATATCAAGATTGAAATATGCTCTCAATATTGAGACAGCTGCAAAGTGAGGCTTCGTATCACGTGTGATACAAAGTTAATGGAACAGTTTAAGCCAAAATTTTGAAAGCTAAAAATTTCAAATGTTCTTAAAATTTGAAAACATTAATATCGAAAGTTTGGCTGTAAACCCAAAAAAGCCCGTGCAAGAAAAATTTTAAAAATATATTTTTACAATCTCGGATGAGAAATGCAAAGCCTTGAGAAAATTGTTTTAGCCAAAGATCTGAATTTAAAAACAAAAAAGAAACTTGAGACGGATGTCTATATCAAGTTTAAATCTTTTGAAGAAACCGTTTGGCTGAAATGATTCTTAAGTATCATAATACAAAAAATCAAATAGCTCGAGTAGTGTAGTTCGAAACTTTTACAAAGCTCCAAAATTTGTTGCTAGAAAATTTATCTGCATTTGCGTTAAAGATTACGAATAGTACCTCAATTAAGACTAGTGATTTTGAATAGCTTTTGTTGATTAGCTTCTTGTAACTCGGCCGAGAAATAGAACCGATCGCTAATTCCAGTCCACCGAAAATCTATTTTGCAGTAAAACAATAATACCGTATTCGAAGCAAAGCGCAGCCACCACAGAATATGATTTTTTACACAGAAATAATCTTAACTGATGATGCTTCAAAATTGCGAGCTAGTTGAAGTATATCATCTTAGCTAAATTTATGTAATGGAATAAAAAAAGTGCTATCTTCAAAGACTTTTCAGATTAACTGCTGATGTGGTTTTGCGACATTTCAACTTGGTGGCTTAGTTCTAATTTTGTCTGCTAGCTCGCAGCTCTAAGTTTGGTGCTAAGCCTATGGCATTGGTGCTAAGCTCCCTTCGCGTCTGTGTAACTGAAACTTTCAAAAGAAATAGCGCAATAAATTTCCAATCATTTACCTGCAGCAAAAAGCGTGTGAAAACTACAGCTCCTTGCTCTAACCACAAGTTTTTAACCAAAGTTGTCATTGTGAAACGAATTGGGAAAATATAATTTAGCTCCACTATATCTTTCATTTCAGCTATTAGCAGAAGAGTATGTGAGGTTGATTTTAGTTTTTCGACAATTTCTTTGGTAGTTTAACCAATCCTGAGTGAAGTTACAGAAAATAGCAAATAGTGGGCAAAATCACAAAACGTTAAAGCGACACTGAAAATGGGCGAAAGTTAGAAATTTCTGTAATATTTAAGTTTCTGGTAATATAAAAATTGAGCGTGTGCAAAAAATAATTACAAGTATACCTACGACACATTGAAATACCCGGTGGTTAAACTTACTGGATAATTTATTTGAAAACGTAACCTGAAGGCGCGCGTGTAAAGCAAAAAAAAACAATTGAGTATCCAGCCGAATACGTTTTTGGATGAACTTAACTATTTGAAAAGTATTTGTTAATTAGTTAATTTAGGAATTTCAATCAAATTCAGCCCGTTGTTACCGTTCGTTGCTTGTCACATTTCATTACTTAAAAGTACTGGCCACATTAAATGTTGCCCGGTTTTTAAGAAGCATTGGCTAGAATTTAAATCACAAATAGCTGGTTGCTGTGTTTTTATCGCAGAAATTTCAGATCAAAGTTTTTTTTTCTACACTTGCGATCAGCTAGGGTGTTGCTTCCCGGTAGTAGACTTTTTTCCGTAAATAATTTTGTTCACAGAATGTTCAATTTAGTAGGAGTGATCAATTTCAGAAAAGTGAGAATTGTTCTATTTTAACTAAAGAAACAAATTCAGGAGAAACAACTGATCGCTTTTCAAACTGGGCAGATTTCAAAATAATTGTTATAAGCTTTTCATTCAAATATATCCTCAAGAGATTTATGATACCTTAGACGGTTTTTTTGTACTCAATAAATTGCAAGGTTAAGATGCGGCTATCGAGTGCAACTTTTTAAAAATTACTTGGCAATGTAAACTTGGCAATTTTTTTTAAGATTCTTATCATTCTGTAAAATTTTGTTGAATTTATTTTAATAAAGGCTTCAGACAAGCTTTAATCGATTCATTTACAAAGCTAGACAGAACCTGCAAGTTTTTTGTCAAAGCTTTCCGTGACTATTTCAATTTCTAAGACAAGCCAACTAAAATGAAAGAGCTTTCTTTGTGTCATGAAATTCGAATGAGGTAGGTAAAATAAACTTGTGCTTGAGTTTGTTCACCTGGAAACTTGTGAGAATTTTTCCGAGCCAACTCACTCTTCTTTTAAATGACTTGAAATATATCAACGTTTCATTTCCCGTTGAGCTTGATTGCGCGGAAAAACTTAGCCTGAAAACCAATTCGAGTTATGAAACAACTTGAAATATTTCAGATTACTTCTTTTGAGAAACTTCCATGGAAAAAATAAGTTTCTGCTAAGCATTAAAACCTATAAAATAAATTCAAATTTCGAATGTTTTTTTTTTGCTTGATGAAGTTGCTCAAAAGTTTTATTTTGCGAACCGATTCAGTCTCTAAGAAATCTTGAAATGATTCAAAATTAAATCATTTGATGATCTTGCATAGAAAAGTGTGATTTTTTTTGCAAAACGATTCATGCTACGAAATAAATTGAAAAAAAATTCAAATGCTAATAGTTTATTAGGCGGGCTTGAGAACTTAGCTTTGTGAAATTCATTTCGCCGTAAAAAACGAGTTTTTTTGAAGTTTCTCCGCTTGATCGTAGTAATTTTCATATTGCAGTTTTTACACCCCATTTATTCGGCTTTTATTAAAAACGTTCAACAAAAATTTTGGAAAAAAATCATTTGGCTTCTTCCTTTTTGGCTGCTTCCTTTTTTGCCTTTATTTTTTTGAAGTATCGGAACGTATTCAGTGCTACTTTTGAAGTATTTGATGATCGGAACGCATTCAGTGCTAATTGCACAGAAACCGCGTATTCATGGTGATTTTTGGAAATATTTTAAATTTTGATGTTCATAGATTTGCCACGAGGTCGCTAAAAACATGTTACTGAATTATACTTATGCAAAATTTTACCGCATTAAATTAGAAAACCTCTTGCCGATCTAAAAAAAAGTTCAAGACTATTTAATGGTCAATTTTTGGCATACTTTTTTAAGGAATTGATTGAATGCTGCAGGACCCCTGATAAATTCGAACACCCGCCCTTCCCTTGTAATAAAACAAATTGAAAATTGTCAGCGCACCGTCTCCGTCTTCTTCACCTTGATAAATTTTTGACCCGCGGTAATTAAGTACTGCAGAGACCCACAGCTTAATTTTTTAACTAAGGAATTAAATAAAAGAATTAACTTTATGCAAAATATTCACAATTTGTTCAAAGTAGGCTTTAAATGAGCTAATGGATAAGTTGACTTGCATCGGCTAGTGAAAGACAAATTGCACGTTTTGCTGCAAGAAAAAATATCATCACAGAGGCGAAGCTGAGCGCGATAGATCACAAGAAAAAAAATAGAACAAAATTTGAAAATTTCGGAAAAACTAGATTATAAAAATGAATCAGGCTAATTTTTAAACTAAAAATGCCACGGCAAAAAAGTGAAATTAGCATTGGATGATTTTTACCCAGCGTTAACAACTAAAAACCCTTAAGCCGAAAAAAAATCGAAAAGAGATAATAAGAGATTTGTGGGAGTTAATAAGTTCCCCTCGCGCTCAAAACTCTCAAAAAACTTTATTTCGATATTTCTATATAAATGAAACAAAATGAGGCCACTTAGGCAATATAATATAAGGCGAAAACTGTTAAGGCCAGAAAAAAAATAAAAAAGCCGAAAAACATCAACAAAACTTAACAGTAATAAAAAGTTATTAAGTCCCCCTCGCCCTCTAAACGAAGGCACGCACACAAAAAAGACGCTCGTCTAAATACGCAATTTGAGGCCAATAAACCAATATATGTAGGCCGAAACCTATCAAGCCGACAAAAAAGGAAAAACGCCGAAACAAAATGTCATGAAAAACTTGAACTATAATTTCTAAGGTTTTAAAAGAGTATTGTGCGAGTAAGAGGGAAGCATAAAAATATGTTTCCATTGAAACGAGTCAAACTTAGGTCACAATGCCAATAAAAAAAATAGGCTGAAACCATATGAGCATAATCAAGTTTTCAAGCGAAAAAAAATTCAAAAAAGAAAATATTAGAAATCAATATTTTAAAAGAAATACAAACAGCAGAGGTAAATCACTAAAAGCAACAATACTAAAAGCCAACTAAGCTCTAAAAGTAACTATAATGTAAAAAGACTTGAGAAATCAATTTTACAATTTGGCAGCTAAGTCAAAACAAGCAGAAAATAGTAAGCTGAAATTTTTTTTAACTGAACCTCACTATTATGAACTGAACCTAAAATTACCATTTCCAGTTTTGACCATTCTGTTAACCGACTGATTTACGAAAAAAATTGTAGTATCCGATTTCAATACCCTTGCTTATCGCAAAGGTAAACAACATGTATTTTTTAACCTCTAGGTGACTTTAAAAAATTTGCATGTTTGCATGAAAAAAACTGAAAATTGCGGTATTATCTTAAATAGTCAGATTGTTCATTCAAAATTCAAACGTTGGCTGTGACATTATGGTCAGCTAGTGCAAGCAGTTCATCGATTGCTACTCTTATATCGGTAGCCGCTATTCTTTTCTAGACCATATATGGGGCGCTTTGCTTGAAAAAAAAATAAGACACTCTGAGCCTTGGGCAAAATAGTTTTGTGTAAACAGCCGAAAACGGAGTTCCAGTAAAACGATGAAAAAGAGAAAATTTTTTATTTTTACTGCTGATGTCTTTTTGGCTATACTGGCTATTCAGTCAATAATGGGCCAACTATATTCTTGAAAAAACCGCTTTTAACCTTTGGCGGGGACAAAAACTGTTACCTGCTCCAATTTTGCTGCCTGTGAAAACCTTGATTTCGTATGCAATCTGCTGTGCCATTGCGCTCTTTCTGTCGCTTGGGTTGTCTTTCGGCTGAATGAACATCGGCTCATAGGGACTTTTGTCGTTTGGAAGCTCAGACTCAATCACGAAAGTGAAGTTCACTCTCGATGTCAAATTAGCCAACTGAATCGATTGGCAGAAAACGGATTCGCCATCCACTGCAGGCACAAAATTCACCAGCATATCAGTTACGTTGGTCAGATTTGTATCTTTAAAGTCATGTTCTATTTCACTGTTTTTAGAAATTGTTTTTTGGTTCACTGGTATCTCAACTAATCCCGTTTCTTTGCCGTAACTTTTTAGTTGAAAGGTTAGGTTTCCGTTCGGGTACTTAGAATTTTTGGCGCTTGGCTTCAGTGAGATAACAGCCCTGAATTTTGCCATTGAGTCCTGCCGTGTGTTTGACTTTTCAGTTTGATGACTGAACAGTTCCCGTGATATTTGTTTGTCGTCTTCGCTTCTCGAGAGCCATTTGTCGCATGCGAATTTGGTGGTGGTATTGGTTTTCATGTTGCGCACAATCACCTCTTTTAGGTGCCAAGAAGCTCCCAATCCCTAAAAAATCAATTACTTTAATTTGGATACATTTTTCGGAATGTTTTCGTTTATTCGAGCTATTCTGGAGCAGTGGATAAAAATTCACTTGCGAAGTTTATAGTTCTGATTTTCGAATACAGTGCCAAGTATTTATGTTTGGAGCGGTTTTTTATTCAGTCAATTTTCAACTTTTTAACTAAGCTTTTGTGACAGAAATTTTGAATCAATTGAGCAATATCCCTAACTCCCTTACTCAATTGATCCGGAACTTTTTATACCGTTTGAAAAATCTTGTTGTCCGGAGCTCCAATATAAAAAAGTTTCACCTGTGATTTTCCCCGAAAGTTAAGAGTTTAAAACGTGCTCATTTGGTTAAATTGGGATAATTAACGCGCTAAAAATTGAGTAAGCCGCGGAAGAAATTGTTCCAAATTGAATTGAGGAAAGTTCATTTTTGATTTAAAAAGATACTGTGAAAATGTATAGGATTTGATTTTTTGAGACACATTGGAATTTTTTTCACTGTTTTTAAAAATGTTAGTTTTTCTCAATGTCTACTTTACCAATTTGTGAAAAAATGGTACTAATGGAAACCCCGCCCTTGCCCCTCTGTGCTTTCATATTCCAATAGTCTCTTCACAATACCTCTTTTTCTACAGCCTTCGAAAAACTCTGTGATTGGAGGTGATATTTGACCAAAACATTGGACTTTTTCATTTTCTCAATAACTAAATTTGAGAATTTTGATTTATCTGATAAAACGGGCTGTGGGAAATTCTTCTGCATAAGCTGCTGCCCCAAATTTTTTTTAAAATAAAAATTTATAGCGCTCGGAAAAGTCAATTTTTTGGTTTTTGATATTTTTTCAAACTACGCTACCAAATCTGAGATTTTGATCCAAAGTTAAAGGACGGTTTGTGAGAAGCTCCCCGACGTAAACACCTACGCCCAATTTTTTATCTACAAAAAGTTACGGTACTGGGAAAAGTCTAATGTTTGATTTTTTGAAGCTTTTGACTTTTATCGAAAGCTACTATCCCAAATATGAGATTTTGGTTTCAATCTTAACGAAAGGTTGTCACAAATTCCATTACACAGGCGTCTGTGCCAAAGTGTTTTTCTACAAAAAAATACGTTCCTCGGAAAAGTAAAATATTTGATTTTCTGATCGTTTTTTCTACTTTTCTCGGAAACAAGTCTCTCATATCTTAAATTTTAGATTCAATGGAGATAACGGACTGTAAGACGCTCCGCTGCATCAGTGGTAACGCTCACTTACACAAAGAATTATGGCCCTCGGAAAAGTCAATGTTTTGAATTTATGGCCGGTTTTTTGATACTTTCTGAATTTTCTCTAAAAGTACTCTCCCAAATCCAAATAAAATTTCCATTAAAAAAAGTCATGGAAGCTCCCCTGCATGAAGTGGCTAGGTTCAAATTTTTCCCACAAAAAAATATGGTCATCGAAAAGTCAATTATTTCATTTTTTGACCGTTTTTTGAAACTTTTTGGCTTTTCTCGAACACCACCCTGCTAAATCTGATGTTTTGGGTTTACTGAAGAAAATGGTTTGTGGGAAATTCCCCTGCATTAGCGGCTAACCACATTTTTGAAAGAAACTTGTTCCTCATAAAGGGTTGTTATTGTCCTCAGAAAAGTCAGTTTTTTTGACTTTTTGACCGTTTTTTCAAAGTTTTTCTCGAAAACTACTCCGAAGCTGACACCAAGGGCCGAATCTGACATCAAGAGTTTAACCGAGGCAACAAATTAAACAAATTATGGAAAGCTTCCGTGCAAACGTGGCTACGCCCTAAAATTTGTTCAAAAACTGTTTTTATTAAAAAACTTCACTCCTAATTAATTTTAGTAGATAAACAACTAAGGTTTTGGGTGAAGCACAGTTTTTGACTTTTTGAAATTACCCCCTTCATCCTGCATCAGTACGACAATTTAAAAAACATCAAATGGATACTTCCAGCCTTAGCTCGGCTCATACTTATTAGGAGATAATTTTAGGACACGAGACGCTAAATACATCCTTTCTAGTTTACCTAGCGTAAAACGACAAAAAAAAGTTGTAAAAAAAGTTTTTTCGTTTCTTTGACTAAGTTTTCAACCAATTGGTTTTAATTGGCGTTGACAAGAAGTCGTAACATTCGCGCCTTTTCCGGGTAACAACACGTATTTTGAGCAAGCTTGCGTTTTAAATGCCATTTCTCTCCAGAAAAAAAATTTACGTTGGTTTTAATTTTACCTACTCCGATTTGGTACAGTTCGTTTTTTCTTTTGTTTGCTTTTCGCTGTTTTCGACTTGATAAGGTTTCGGCTGAATCGTTTCACATTTTGTTTTGTTTGATGGACGAAAAAAGTTTCTTATGCGTGTGTGCTTTCTTGAGTGGTGGACTAGAAACATTTTATGAGTTTTTAAATTTTTATGATTTTTTTCTACTCAAGTGTTGTCAGCCCCTGTGCTTTATTGCCTCTTCATACGTTTTTTTCAGATGCTTGTTTTATTATTGGCAATTATCTTACTTGCATGATTTTACTTACTTCGCAATCTAAATTCAAGTCAGAATATACATGGAAACTTTGATAGATCTAGTTTTTTTCGACATTTTTGTTTGTCATGCTATGTTTGTCTTATGAAGTCTTTTCTAATAAAATTTTTCACAGAAAGTAGGTTTTCAAAAAACAAAGATTTGCCTGATTTGTATGATTACCAAGAACCGAATGTCGCTATTTATTGTAACTTTTGATCGAAAAGTTCAAGTTTTAGCATAACAAAATGAACTTACAGAGTTGTCGTGCCAAATCCTCACTTTCTGCAACTGGCCCAAATCCTCCAAGTCCCCAAACTCAAATTTATCAGTCTGATTACTCTCAAATTTATTTTTGTTTGTCTTCGACTCTTTCAGAGCCAATTCTCCGCTGTCGCCAAATTCTCCAAAAAGTATCAAATTAACATTTGCGTCAGTACCTGCTCCTCGTTTATCCGAAGTTGAAACCGAAACCTCGTATCCGCAGTTAGTCAATAGTTTGTTGCCCGAACTTTCTCCAATAATCGTGACTGTTGAAGTGTTTTTTGTTTTCGAGTTGAGCCAGTCGTTGTAACTAAACGTCACAGGTTCTGATTGGTATTTTCCGATTTTTTGAGCAACTATTTTTTCCAGGAACCAGCCAGTTCTATATCCACTAGAAGTAACAGTAAGTCGCATTTTGACCAAATTTGCTATATCGTCGAAATTAACCAGAATGCTGTCTTTGCGACCGCGTTCGAATCGACTCTCGTTCTTTGGAAGCGTGATCGGATCCGAAGTCCCGCTTGTTCCGAAGAATGTAGCTGTGATTCTGCAATCTGTTCCTGCCTGGAATTTGTCTCCGGTGTGAACTGTTAGAAGATAAGTCTCCCTTGGCACGTAGTTGACTGTTTCTGTGTCTGAAGCAATTAGAGTTTTTTCCAGCTTCCCGCCACCCTTTGAAGCTCCAATCCACTCGTTCATCTGAAATCATGTATTTTTTTTGCTCAATTAGTTGATAATTTGGAAAATTAGCAAAGATTTAATACCCGGTCGAATCAAAATTGACATGAATTTGATTACCAAAGAAATGTTTTCATATCGTTCAAGTATTTTATTTTGTTCAGGCGCAGATCTAGAAATTTCTCGAGGGAGGGGGAGGGTAGGGGGTTATTTTCAAAAATTGTCGACCTTTTTTTTAGGCCGACCAAATTGATTCTTGATTTTTGCTCTCGATTCAAAACTTTCCGACCGACCCTAAAGTTTTCCAAAAACGCGCCAATTTATACTAACTTTGAAAGCAAGCGCTTGTCAAAAAGCGCAATTTTTTGGTCAAAATTTTTTCCAAACAGCGGACAAACACAGCGTGTTACTTGTTTTTTCAAAAAATTGCCTTAAACCAGGGGCAGATTTAGGGAAGGGGCGCGGAGCTCCCCCCTCAGGGATTCGACCCCCTGCCGACCCAAAGGGTCCCCCTTTTGTACTATTTTGAGATATCTATTTTTGGCTGACTGACCCTAAAATTTTTCTAAAGGCGCCATTGGCGCCAAAATATACTAAATTTGAGGGGGGAGCGCGCGCCGAAAACACGCGATTTTTTGGTCAAAATTTCCAAAAGTGCCTAAAAATCCTTTTTTTGGCCTGTTTTTTTTTTTCAAAATTTTGCCAGCGGCGCAGAAAATTTGGCCAAAACACTGTGCATTGGAAGAGCTCGGAAAATCAATTTGGACTGCCTAAAAAGTCCACAACATTTTTGAAAAATCCGCTACCCCTCAAGAAAATCCTAGATCCGCCCCTGCCTTAGACGCAGCAATTTTTAAATCAAAATAGGGTCTTTTTGGTGTTCTGGGAGAGCTCGGAAAATCAATTTGGTCGACCTAAAAGGTCGACAATCTTTTTGAAAAATTTTAAGGATCCGCCATAGTATAACCGGTCACAGTTATATTTGCAAAAGATTTTTCGATTTTTTTTTCTTGATTTTTGACTTTTTTGCGGAAGGGGAGGACGAACTTGATAGATGCGCCAAAAATGCAAAAATCATGGCAATTAAGTGTTTTTCAAATGAACACAAATGAAGCACAACTATCTGCACGTAATTGGAGGGGATCGACGAAACGCATAGCTGCTCCCCACTCTTGGTCTAACCCGAAGATTTCTGGGTAAAGGCAGTAAAGTTATAAAAAGGTTTTCAAACATTGTTCAAAATAGCTCAATAAATTGGACACAGTATAGTTCAGTTATACATTCATAGTGTTTCTTCTTATGTTCTCAATATGCATTTTCTCAAGTCTCAGAAAAAAAATGAAAAAAATTTGTCTTTCGTTGTGTTTATTTACACAAATCATAAAAACAGTATTTTCTCAAATTCTAGGAAAATTTGCGGGGTAAATTGTTTCTTACTAGGAAGACCTTGGGTTGAATTACCGGTGACAATTAGCGATGTCCTGTAATAGTTAAGATTTTCATGAACAATTCCGTGCAATTTCATAGATAAAAAAATTAGAGACTATTTATCAAGAAACTGAAAAATTAGTGATGATTTATCAATGATTAACAACAAAAAACTACGCTGACTTAGTTATGAATAAGCGATTTTTCATAGCTAGATGATTTTTTAGTACAAATTGCAAATTATAGCTAATTACTCATTTAAAAAACCATCAGTATAAATAACCCATAAAAAAGTACTTTTTGAAGTTTTCGATTTGAAAAAAAAATTGTTATTTGTCTTGTTTTTGCTAAAATTGGTTATTTTTAGCTCAAAATTGCTGAATTTGTTGGAAAATCGGTCTTAATATTTTTTTTGGATCTCTTCTACTAAATTAGATTTTGTGGACGTAGAGGTTTTGAATGATAATCTTTGATAGTAGAAGTCGCTTTAAGGTAAGACATGTCAAACAAAAATTAGTTTCAGACTTTTTCTTATATAGTAAAATAGATTCTCCAGGGCCAGTAGAGTTTTTAAAAAAGGCTTTTAAAAGTTGTTCGTTGCTTAGTATGTCTTTGTTTTGAGCCAATTAACCTGTAATTTCAACTGTTATAAGATAATCTTCTTGGGAAAATCTAAGTAAAGAAGTGGGAATGTGGGAATATAAAGAAATGTAGGGCGGCCAGGAGGTGGGGGCCACCGAGTAAAGGCTATAATTTTAGTTTAAAGAGTAATAGGGCCCTCGGGATGCGGAGGCCGCCCAGTATAAGCTATAAATTTAGTTTATAGAATAAAAGCTCTGCCAAGTCAGGCCGCCGGGGTGTAGGGGCCGCCGATTAAAGGCTACAAAGTTAGTTTATAGAATATTAGGGCCACCGGGATGCGGGAGCACCGAGTGAAGGCTATAAATTTAGTTTAAAAACTAGTTTTTTTCCGAAATTTTAGATCTAAAAATTAACTAATTATATGAATATCAAAGTGTAGCAGTTGGTTGCCTAAAATTACTTGAAAACTGAAAATCAAAAATTTTTACCTCCAAGTTAGTTTTCAGATTCTTATATAAATGGAATTCTGCAATCTGTCTGAAAGCGAATTTGCAAGTAAAACTTTATGATTTTCAGTTTCTCAGTAATTTTAGGCAATCAACTGTTACAAAATGATTTTCACTTAAAATTCGATAATCAGACATTCATTCAGTTGTTAGATCTGGAAATTTGGGAGAAAGAACTATTTTTGGAAATTGAGTCTTAGCCTTTACTCGGCGCTTCCCCATCCCAATTCTTAAACCTAATGTTGACTTGGTTTTATCACAAAAAAGTGTATATTTCACATGTTCAAATTTTGTTTTAAAATCAGCGAATGGATGTTTTTTCGATTTTTTTTCCAGAATTCTTTGAGAAAAAGAAATTAGATCCATTTCTATAAAAAATGAGGCTTTTTATTTCATCGGAAACTAGTAATTCATTGGATATAAAGCAAAAATTTCAGCTCTGAATATTATTATTTTAGCAGTGAAACTTGCTAATAGAGAAAAATTGAAAGCTCATTGGTAATTCATTCGATTCAGTGATAATTCCGAATTGAAATTTGCTAGTTTGGTAAATATTAAGCATTAAATCATCGATGAAGATCACTGTTTTTTCAATTTTTCTTCACTAATTTCCATCGGACCTCAACGCAGGGCCCTAAAAACACATAGCATCCAATCAACATTGTTAATTATTGGGAATGAATCATAATCAGGAAACAAAAACCGAGTACAGAAGTGGGACTGTGGGAAAATAATTGGATGCAGGGCGGCTAGGAGGTGGGGGCCACCGAGCAAAGGCTCCAAATTTTATTTATAGAACAATAGGGCCCTCGGGATGAGGAGGCCGCCCAGTAAAAACTATAGGTTTAGTTTACAGGATAGAAGCTCCACCGAGTAGGGCCGCCGGGCTGTATGGGCCGCCTTTTAAAGGCTACAAAGTTAGTATTAAGTTAGCACTAATTTCCAATGGGACCTCAACGCGGGGCCCTAAATTTATATAGCATCCAATCAACAGTGTTAATTATTGGAAAAGAATAATTAGAAAGCAAATATATTTTGTAACAAATCTGTGTTTTTATAAAATATATTCAATAAATTAGAAGTCTGTATATTCTTTAATTGTTAAGAATTTTTTTTATGAATGAACAAACAAATGTACAAAATGTGGCCTCATATTTGAAAACTTTTTGGGCAAAAAAATGAGTCAGAAACGAAATGGGGCTTTGTTTGCTCGATGAGCGCATGCAAAACTTATGAAGGTCATGAATATAGAGCTCATTGTCTGTTTCAGTTTTTTGTGGTAAAAAGCTCGTGTCGTACTATTTTTCGCTGTTAAAATAGAGTTTGGTTCTACAAAGCCTAACATGTTCCGCCATTTAGCAATATACCATGGTGTACGATTGGTTTAATTTTGGTTTTATAGTTTTTCAATAGAACCGTATAAGGAACAAAATTTCTCCTTTTTGATATAAAACCGGAATATCTCCCAAGTTTTTTGTTGACCTAGTTTGTATGCGATTGATGAATGACAAGTTACTGTCATACATGTATACATTATACATTTACAAGAAAACAGGTGAGTAAACAGTATTATGAGGTTTTATAGTATCTTTTTAAAAAATCTCAATTGAAATTTTGCATTTTTGAAATGTGCCACAAAACTTTGAACCATATTCGTACGTATCAAAAAATGAGCAATGGCAAGCAATGCTCGTGTCATCTGCAAATAGAAAGATAGTTGAACACAATATAGCAGCATGATTCAGAACACTTAGTAAAGGACCAAGCGTCAAAAACGCCTAAAGCTGGTTGGAATGGAAAAATTGGTTGAGCCTGAAAAGCAAATACTTGCAAATTGAAATTAGGCAGATGTGAATCGCATTGACAAGTGTACTTTAGACGCACCTTGAATATGTAGTTTTTGCCCATCTGCGGAATGTTCACTTCCACACTATCTATGAACCAGTCCTGTCCCTCCCCCAGTCCATCATGACTCACATCCACCCTTCGCACACTCTGTCCCACTCTGGCAGCCCACATCTGGAACTCCTCCGAGGAAGAGGGCTTGAACTGGGTCTCAGTCGTGTGGCGCAACGCCATCTTCCCTGCAAATCAATACTTTTTATGTCTGTTCTGCATAGATCTCCTTATAAATGAATCAATTAACATGCGTTCAAACTTTAAATGTATAATTTAAAGTGTACAATCATTCTACGAACGTATTGACTCATAGATATCTATCAACTGTTTCGCATAAATAAATCAATTATCAGCGAATTTTTTGAGAAGTTATTGATATTTTGAAGACCTGATCGTCGTTTCACCGCGTATCTTTTCACGTCCTTGCGTTCAATGGTAATTAGTTTTTGGAACAGTCATCTTTTCAAAATTTTAATCACTAAGTATTTTGCCTTATCACCTTCATTCTTTCATGTTACTTAATAGCCTATAAAACCGAGACCTATTAACAGATTTTTTAAATGAACCTGTGTTACTCCCATCTGCTCCGAACAAGTTTACAAATGCACTTGCATTAGTGCCCATGTCTTGTTCACGCCCTGTGTTCACCTTCACATAGTACAAAACGTGGTCAGCCAGTGTGAAGTCATGCTCCCCAATTAGTGAGCCATGATAGCCTTGTGCGTAGAGGGTTCGCTCTATCTTTTTGTCATCGTCTTGTTTAGAAAGCCATCTCTCACAGAAGAACACTGTCTTCTTGTCGGGCGACGATGAAGTTTCAACTTCTATCTTGCCCAGAAACCAAGCAGCTCCAACCACACCTGTTCAAGCATATTGCGTACCTTACCAATAGTACTTTGTGTTATTTCGTTTTGTGTTATTTCATAATCGATTGTCTTATATTTCACAGGCGAAGAGTATGCTGCGCCTTTTCAAATGTTTTTTAAACGAAAATTTTAAATATATTTTGGAAACAGTCGATTCGAGCATAGTGTACCAAAAAAAACTAGTAAACGTAATATTTACCGTTTAGTTTTGGGCCTTATCTTTGAAAAATAAAGTTTTTCGGGCGAAATTCTCCCGAAGCAAGCTGATTCAAAGTCTGAGTGTTAGTTTTGATTGCTCGAAACTGTACAAAAATCTTTTCTGACCTCTCAGTGAAAAAACATCTCGTTTGGTTTTTTGTCGGGTTTTGGAAGGTGTCATTTCTTTTTTGATTTTTGGGTTTACCATTCTTCAATATCAATCGATTGTCTTATAATTCACAGGCGGCGAAGAGTGTGCTGCGCCTTTTTAATTATTTTTTAAACAAAAATTGTAGATACATTTTGGAAACAGTCGATTCAAGCATAGGGTACCAAAATTTATTTCTAATTTTAGCTTCATGGTAAGTGTGTTTTGTTTAGTTTTAGCTTTTTTTAATATTCATTTAACTTCTCTGATTTATGTTTGATTTGGATGATTTCTAGCTTTCAGTTTTTATGGTAACGACTTTGTTGTTGCCCTAAAAAGGTTGCTTATATTTAACGTTGGGACCATGTGTAGGCCTTCTCGTGGCGGTCCTGTATATGATCAGCAAATTTGTTGATCTTGCTAACTGCACATTAAAAATACATATATACTGGATGATTTTGCGATCTGCATCTGTATAACGCTTATGCAAGCAAAAAAAAATCCGACAACAATTCCATTACTTCAGCTTTGCGCGACCCATGTTGCGACTTTGCGCGACCCAAATTTATGTTGCGACCCTGTTCGACTCATGGTTCGACCCTGTTCGACTCATGATTCGACCCTGTTCGACTCATGATTTGACCCTGTTCGACTCATGATTCGACCCTGTTCGACTCATGAGTCGACCCGGTTCGACTCATGACTCGACCCTGTTCGACTCACGAATCGACCCTGTTCGACTCATGATTCGACCCTGTTCGACTCATGATTCGACCGTGTTTGACTCATGACTCGACCCTGTTCGACTCATGATTCGACCCTGTTCGACTCATGATTCGACCCTGTTCGACTCATGATTCGACCGTGTTCGACTCATGATTCGACCCTGTTCGACTCATGATTCGACCCTGTTCGACTCATGATTCGACCCTGTTCGACTCATGAGTCGACCCGGTTCGACTCATGACTCGACCCTGTTCGACTCATGACTCGACCCTGTTCGACTCATGATTCGACCCTGTTCGACTCATGATTCGACCGTGTTCGACTCATGATTCGACCCTGTTCGACTCATGACTCGACCCTGTTCGACTCATGATTCGACCCTGTTCGACTCATGATTCGACCGTGTTCGACTCATGATTCGACCCTGTTCGACTCATGATTCGACCCTGTTCGACTCATGGTTCGAACCTGTTCGACTTATGATTCGACACTGTTCGACTCATGGTTCGACCCTGTTCGACTCATGATTCGACCCTGTTCGAGCCATGATTCGACTTTGTTCGACGATAGTGTTCGTTCGACCGTCCTAATTTGCGACGAAAATCGGACTCCGTTCGATTGTGTCGGTCGAATCATGAGTCGAACACCTCAACCCGGGTTGTGACTGGTATGTTAAGCTCATTGTGTGATTATATCCTCTATAGCGTGACGGTGGGGGGATTTTTGACGAAGACATTATTAAAATATCTGTCGAAATGGGGAAATATTGTAAGGTTGATCTATTGTTTTACGGAGCAGCCGTCCTGAGTGTTATAAGTTGTCGGCTCACCCTTGTTGTCGTGTCTGACGAAACACTTGTAGAGTTGTCCGAGGTCGGCAGCCTCCAGTGTGAACACATCCACGTCATTCTGCTCAAACTTGTTGATGTTAGAGTCCGAGTGCTTCAGAGGCCTCTCGCCGGTGTCGCCCAGATCCCCGAACAGGGTCAGGAACACATTCGCATCTGTACCTGCTCCTGAAACAGCACACACTCATTTATCTAAATTTGTGTCATCCAAAACCATTATTTTTTTACTCGGGTACTGTGGTGTCAAATATGAACTTATTTTGTTGACATTATTTGGTCTATAATGACGCAATTTTTTGAGCATTCAGAAACAGAAAGAAGAATCCTAAGAATAACAAGGTGAACATTAAGATCCAACGAACATCATGCAGTGATGAGAAAACTAAACTATCGAAGATCCAATGATGTTTACTCACCCTTAATTTTTGCTGCTAAAATTGATAATGTTTTTGATTCGCCAATCTGAAATTAAACTTAGAACCAAGACTGCTTTTCGCATACACAAGCAACGAGACAAGTTGCAAAAAGTAGCTCGTAAAACGCCAAAAAAAGAAAATATGAGGTAAACCAAAAAATTGCAAGAAAACCTTCTTTAAAAAGTGATACGACTGCTCGTTTCAGGTCAATGCTCCTAGCGTTCTGACTTCCCTGTACGATTAATGAAACAGTTTTTCATGATGAAAAAATCTAAATACAGAATGATATAATTCTCAGAAATGTAATGCCTGGACCAATAAGCTTGCTTAAACTCGATTTGAATTGATTTTTGTGATAAATTGATTCCCTGCCTGCTCTCTGGATTCACTGCCTGCGTCATTGGACTTCTAAGTTGCTTAATCATCTCAATTTAGAAATTTGATTTCCCTAGATTTTTACTAAACTCATTCGCAGGTAAAATATCTTGAAAACTCGTTTTTTTGTCTAAATTTGTCTGGAGAAATACAAACACCCCGAGCACAAAATTTGCATCATTTTCTATGAAAGTTGGAACAAACTTTTTGAGAACGCATCTGAGTTGAGATTATTTTGTCCACATTCAAATTATTTGCACTTTCGCCTTCAGCATCATGGTTGGGCGGCAATTCGAAGCCAGCGACAGTTGGAAATAAGCGACAGCTCGTAATGCTGTGAAAGGCAACAATTTAAAATTGTTGGAACCATAAGAAAAATGCGGAAAAAATTTGTATTCGGGGGGGTTTTAGTTTTTTTTGTTTTCCACGCAAAATTAGGTACCACAAATAATCATCGGAGAGTGTCGGATTATATATCATATTGAAGCCCTTTCAGTCGTGATTTGATCAACATTAAAAAAATTCAAAAAAGTTTCTCTGTGTCAAGCAAAACCGAAGTTTGAAATTTTTGGTATAATTTCCAGCTAAAAAGTGCACACTTAAGTTCGTGCACACTTACAATAGCTTATTTAGGAGTTCTTAAAGCCATAAAAATTTAGTTCTATTCGAGCAAAGTTAGTTTTTGGGGTTCTTTGAGCACCATTTCCTCAAAATCAAAAGTTTCGAAAATTCAAAAAAATTCTGCAAAAAAATTTACAAAAATTTTTTAATTTTTTTTTTACAGTTTTTTTCATTTTGTAAGTTTTTTCTATAAAAACTGCTGTCGATTTGGCCTATTCGACTATGACTATGAGGTTTTTGATGCAATTAACAATTGAAATAGGAAAATTAATCCTCCACCGCAATTGCAATTAATTATTAAAGGCAATTTTTTTATCAGCAATTAAGTGATACCAATTGTCCCTTGAGGTTCCGACCGTCGAGTAACTTGAATTTTTCAAGTTTTAGTCTAACTTCGAGCAATTAAAGCTAGCGAGCAGGCTGATTGTAGAGAGATAAGCCATAAACTTCTAGTAAAAAATAGTTTTTTGCGCTTTCTTTGGACAAAAAACTTCAAAAAAATTTTAGTTTGTTCAAATTTGTTTTTTTTTCTAGCCATTTTTTGACCAAACTGTCGCGCGATTTGTCTATCTTGCAGTGACTGTCGAAGTTACCTAAGTATCGGGTTATGCTTCAGATTCTTTCATCACGCCACGCGCAAAAAAAAACACTAACTTGACAAAAGCATTAAAAGTTTCTTATGCATTATTCAACAGGCTGTCCTTGTTTTCCTTTTTTGTTTTCTACGCAAAATTAGGTACCACAAATAAACATCGCGATAGGCCAAGTGATATTTCATATTGAAGCCCTTTCAATCGCGATTCGAGCAACATTAAAAAAAATCAAAAAAATTTCTCAGCGTCAAGCAAAACCGAAGTTTGAATGTTTTGATTTCTGGTTTAATTTCCAGCTAAAAAGGTCAGCGTGCACACTTAAAATAGCTTGTTGAGTAGTTCTTAAATCCATGAAAATGTAGTTCTATTCGAGCAAAGTACATTTTTGGGGTTGTTTTAGCACCATTTTGTAAATCAAGAGTTTCAAAAAATCAAAAAAAAACTGCAAGAAAAACTTACAAAAAATGTTTTAAGTTTCGTTCTCTAGTTTTTTTTTGATTTTGTAAGCTTTTTCTATAAGATCTAATTTCGATTTGGTCTTTTCGACTATGACTGTCGAAGATGTCTGATTTCTATTTTTTGTGCAGATTTTTATATTTTATCACACAGAAAAAACTACACTAAATTGAAAAAAAATGTATATTTGTTAGGACTATGATCGGAACTTTCTGTGCTATAAGCACACTAACTGGTTATCCTTGTTTTTTTATATTGGCCAATTAAAGAACCAGCTTGCATATTAATTAGCATGAAAAGAAACTAAAGAATCATAAATTGATTTTAAAGCTAGTCCCTGCAATATATTACCAATTCGGCTGTTTTGACTATCTCTCACGAGCTAATTATCTTTCTACTTCTGAGGTTTTTGATGCAATTAACATTAGGTGATACAATTTGTCACCTGAGGTTCCGAATATTGATTAATTTTGTTTTTGTGGGTTTTTTTTATGTTCCAATCAATTGAAAAATGGGGAGAACGTTGTCTTTGCGCGTGTTTTTTTTTGAAAAAATTTATTCAGTATGGAGAAAAACCACTTTGAATTTTTCAAGTTTTAGTCTAACTTCGAGCGATTAAAGCTAGCGAGCAGGCTGATTGTAGAGAGATAAGCCATGAAATTTGAGTAAAACTAGTTTTTTCCGCCTTCTTTGAATAAAAACTTCAAAAATTTTTTAAGTTTCTTCTAGAAAAATTTTAGTTTGGTCATTTTTCGATCAAACTGTTGCGCGATTTGTCACTCTTGCAGTGAGTGTCGAAGTGTCTTAATTGTCAGTTTTTTTTTTCAGAACCTTTCATCATGCCACGCGCAAAAAAAGAATACTAATTTGAAAAAAGAATTAAAATTTCTTATGTATTTTTCAACAGGCTGTCCTTGTTTTCATTTTTTGTTTTCTACGCAAAATTGGGTACCACAAACAAACTTCGCGATGAGCCAAGTGATATGTCATATTGAAGCCCTTTCAGTCGTGATTCGAGCAAAAGTTTAAAATTTCAAAAAAATTCTCAGTGTCAAGCAAAACCGAAGTTTGAAATTTTTGACTTTTGGTTTAATTTTCAGCTAAAAAGGTCAGCGTGCACACTTACAATGGCTAGTTTAGCCGTTCTTAAAGCTATAAAAAAGTAGTTCTGTTCCAGCAAAGTTCGTTTTTGGCGTTGATTTAGCACCATTTGGTAAATCAAGAGATTAAAAAATCAAAAACATTCTGCAAAAAAAAAATTTACAAATTTTCTGAAATTTTTTTAACCGTTTTTTTTCAGTTTGTAAGTTTTTTCTATAAAAACTGTTTTCGATTTTGCCTCTTCGACTATGACTGTCGAAGATGTCTGATATCTTTTTTTTGTGCAGATTTTTATATTATATAACACAGAAAAAAATACACTTAATTGAAAAAAAAAGAATATTTGTTAGGACTATGATCGGAATTTTCTGTGCTATTAGCACAGTAACTGGTAATCCTTCTTTTTTTTTTACGTTGGCCAATGAAAAGAACCAACTGACAGCTTAATTGGCATGAAAAGAAACTAAAAAAAATCATAAATCGAAAATGAAGCTAGTCCTTGCAATATATAACTAATTCGTCTGTTTTGACTATCTCTCAAGAGCTAATTATCTTCTACTTCTGAGGTTTTTGATGCAATTAACAATTGAAATAGAAAAATTAATCCTCCACTTCAATTGCAATTAATTATTAAGTGCAAATTTTCTTCAGCATTCAAGTGATACGTGTTGTCACTTGAGGTTCCGACCATTGCGTAACTTTGTTTTTGTGTGTTTTTTGTTGTTCCAATCATCTGAAAAATGAGGAGAACGTTGTCTTTGGGCGTGTTTTTTTTATTGAAAAAAAAATTTCAACGTCGAGAAAAACTAATTTGAATTTTTCAAATTTAGTCTAATTTCAAGCAATTAAAACTAGCGATCAGGCTGATTGGAGAGAGATAAGCCACGACCCTCGAGTAAAATTGGTTTTTCTTGCCTTCTTTGAATAAAAACTTCAAAAAAATTTTAGTTTGTTCTAGAAAAAATAATCCTCCACTTCAATTGCAATTAATTACCAAACGCATTTTTTTTATCAGCAATTAAGTGATACGAATTGTCGCTTGAGTTCCCGACCGTGGACCTTTGAGTAACTTTATTTTTGTGTGTGTTTTTTTTGTTCCAATCATTTGAAAAATGGGGAAAACGTTGTCTTTGGGCGTGTTTTTTTATTGAAAAATTTTATTCAGTGTCGAGAAAAACTTATTTGATTTTCAAGTTTTAGTCTAACTTCAAGCGATTAAAGCTAGCGAGCAGGCTGATTGGAGAGAGATAAGCCATGAACCTTGTGTAAAATTAGTTTATGCGCCTTCTTTGAATAAAAAACTTCAAAAAAGTTTTAGTTCGTTCAAATTGGGTTTTTAATTTCTAGCCATTTTTTGACCAAACTGTTGCGCGATTTATCTCTCATGCAGTGACTGTCGAAATTACCTATTTGTCAGGTTTTCTTCAGATCCTTTCATCACGCCACGCGCAAAAGAAAACAAAACACTAACGTTTTTTTCAACAGGCTGTCCTTGTTTTTATTTTTTGTTTTCTACGCAAAATTAGGTACCACAAATAAACATTGCAATGGACCAAGTGATATGTCATATTGAAGCCTTTTCAGTTGTGATTGGAGCAACTTTAAAAAAAAAATCTCAGTGTCAAGCAAAACCGAACTAGAAGTTTTGATTTTTGGTTTAATTTCCAGCAAAAAATGTCAGCGTGCACACTTACAATAGCTTGTTTAGGAGTTCCTAAAGCCAAGAAAAATTAGTTCTTTTTGTGCAAAGTTCGTTTTTGGAGTTGTTTTAGCACCATTTTGTTGATCAAGAATATAAAAGTTCAAAAAAATTCTGGAAGAAAAGTTACAAAAATTTTTTAGATTTTTTTTACAGTTTTTTTCATTTTGTAAGTTTTTTCTATAAAAACTGTTTTTGACTTGGCCTATTCGACTATGACTATGAAAAAAATTTCATTTGTTAGGACTATGATCGGAACGTTTTGTGTTATTAGCACAGTAACTGGTTATCCTTCTTTTTTTTACCTTGGCAAATTGAAAGAATCAACTGACTGCTTAAATAGCATAAAACCAAACTAAGAAACCATAAATTGAAATTAAAGCTAGCCCCTGCAATATATTACTACTTCGGCTATCTCTCATGAGCTAATTATCCTTCTACTCTGAGGTTTTTGATGCAATTAACAATGGAAATAGAAAAACTAATCCTCCATTTCAATTGCAATTAATTTAAAACCCCAATTTTCTGTCGGCAATTAAGTGTTATGAATTGTCGCATGAGGTTCCGACTATTGAGTAGTTTTGTTTTCTTGTGTTTTTTTTTTGTTCCAATCAATTGAAATTGGGATGAACGTTGTCTTTGGGCGTGTTTTTTTTTGTATTGAAAAAGTTTATTCAATGTCGAGAAAAACCAGTTTGGGATTTTCAAATTTTTGTCTAATTTTGAACGGATAAAGCTAGTGAGCAGACCAATTATAGAGAGATAAGCCTTGAACTTTGAGTAAAATTAGTTTTTTGCGCCTTGCTTTGAATAAAAAACTTCAAAAATTTTTTAGTTTTTTCAAATTCGGTTTTTTTCCTAGTCAGTTTTGACCAAATTGTTGCGCGATTTGTCTATGTTGCAGTGACTGTCGAAGTTACCTAACTATCAGGTTTTCTTGAGATCCTTTCATCACGCCACGCGCAAAAAAAACAACACTAATTTGAAAAAGCATTGAAAGTTTCTTATGTAGTATTCAACAAGCTGTCCTTGTTTTCATTTTTTTTTCTACGCAAAATTAGGTACCACAAATAAACATCGCGTTGGGCCAAATGATATGTCATATTGCAGCACTTTCAGTCGTATTTCGAGCAATATTAAAAATATTCAAAAAAAATCTCTTAGTGTCAATCAAATTCGAAGTTTGAAATTTTTGATTTTTGGTTTAATTTCCAGCTATAAATGTCAGCGTGCACACTTACAATAGCTTATTTAGTAGTACTTAAAGCCATGAAAAATTAGTACTATTCAAACAAAGTTAGTTTTTTGGCTTGTTTTAGCACCATTTTGTAAATCAAAATTTTCAAATATTCAAATAAATTCTGCAAAAAAAATTTACAAAGATTTTTAAGAATTTTTTTACAGTTTTTTTTCATTTTCTAAGTTTTTTCCATAAAAACTGCTTTCGATTTAGCTTATTCGACTATGATTGACAAAGATGTTTGACTTCTGTTTTTTGTGCAGATTTTTATATTACATCACACAGAAAAAATTTTTGAAAAAAAATCTATGTTTGTTAGGACTATGCTCGGAACTTTCTGTGCTATTAGCACAGTAACTGGTTATCCTTGTTTTTTTTATGTTAGCCAATTGAAAGAACCAACTGACAGCTTAATTAGCATAAAGCAAAAAAAAAGAAATCACAAATTGAAACTAAAGCTAGTCCCTGCAATTTATTACTAATTCGGCTGTTTTTTCTATCTTCACAAGCTAATTATCCTTCTATTTCTGAGATTTTTGATGCAATTAACAATTGAAATAGAAACATTAATCCTCCAATTCAACTGCAATTAATTTTTAAACGCAATTTTTGATCAGCAATTAAGTGACACGAGTTGTCACTTGAGGTTCCGATCATCGAGTAACTTTCTTTTCGTGTGTTTTTTTGTTCCAATCAGTTGAAAATTGGGATGAACGTTGTCTTTGGGCGTGTTTTTTTTGTATTGAAAAAGTTTATTCAATGTCGAGAAAAACCAGTTTGAGATTTTCAAATTTTTGTGTAACTTCGAACGGGTAAAGCTAGTGAGCAGACCAATTGTAGAGAGATAAGCCACGAACCTTGATTAAAATTAGTTTTTTGCGCCTTGCTTTATAAAATAAAAAACTTCAAAAAAATTTTGGTTTTTTCAAATTCGGTTTTTTTCCAAATTGTTGCGCGATTTGTCTCTCTTGCAGTGACTGTCGAAGTTATCTAACTATCAGGTTTTCTTCAGATCCTTTCATCACGCCACGCGCAAAAAAAAACAACTAATTTGAAAAAGCAATGAAAATTTCTTATGTATTATTCAACAGACTGTCCTTGTATTCATTTTTTGTTTTATACGCAAAATTAGGTACCACAAATAAACATCGCGATGGGCCAAGTGATATGTCAAATTGAAGCATTTTCAGTCGTGATTTAAACTACATAAAAAACGGTTCCAATGTCGAGAAAAAAAAGTCGAGTTTGAGCTTTAGTCTAATTTCGAGCAAATTATTATCAAAATCGATGTGCATGAAGTTTTTCGATATTCACAGAAACTCTCGATTTTTATGAAAAATTAGCTGTATAGTTTTTTAGGATAAAAAACCTGACTTCACTATGAAGAAATCGGAGCACCTCACAGAGCATCTCATATATGTTAATAAAAGCGCGCATATGTTAAATCTAGCAAATTAAAAACTTGGCACTTTTCCGATCTACAAACTTTGCAAAAATTTATCGCAATAAAATACTTTTTGTATTTGAGCTCAGTTCCACGGCAAATTCAAGGGTCATAAAAATGTCTCTCAAATTTGTTTTTGAGAAGCTTTAGGGAAAATTTGCACTAAAAGGCGCGACTTGCGTTAGAAAAAAGTGAATTGACCCTATAATAATACTCTGGCAAGCCTGCTTGTGTGAGCAGAAAATATGACGCAATAAATATTTGTTTTATAACCTGGTACGCTCCCTGTGTACACGTGCACTTTGTATTGTTTGATGGCTAACTTCTCCACCGTCTTCTCAGTTTTCTCCAGATTCCCATTTGCATCATATTTGAGAGCCCAAATTTTAGTTGGATTTAGTTCTCTCTCGGTTGCTTTGTCGTCTTCGCTTCGGGCCAGCCATCTGTTTAGAAAAAAAACTACTTATATCAAAGCTATCATTTAAAGTACGCTATTTTTAAAGTTTCCATTTGGTGGCTTTGTTTACAATAAAAGATACTAACTTTGTTCAGTTTTTGAGAAAGTACAGCTAACAGAGTCTTAAAACATCTAGATTGATTTTACCATGCTTCTGGCCAACATGATCCTTTATGAATGAAGCCAGCCGCATAACTCTTAAAAATTTTGCCAATCTATTGTTACCAAATCTAATTGTATCAAACCGCCAATATATTTTAGTAGTAAATCAGTATAGCTTGAAGCTCAAGTTGCGTTCCAGTGAAGTGTAACTTGATCATTAGCCTCTTGCTACTTAGTAACCTGTTGCACTCGAATCGGTAGCAGAGGGAGTCGTATTCTCCGAGCAGTTCTCGTATCTCTACCCATGCCAGATGCCATCCGGGCTTAAATCCAGAGTTGTTGTGGCCTATGCGAATTTTGCGAATAGAGTCTCCAATGTTCTCCATTTCCCTGAAAAGTAACAGTTGAGATAAGCTATTCAATAGTTTTTGATCCCAGAATCTTGAAGATTGCCGTCTAAGTTCTGCACTATCTTTTAAAATTTTCAGAAGAATTGTGTAAGGGTTTTTGATTCCAATGAAAATTATTTCTGGAAGCTACATTTAGCGCTTCTTTGGATAAATTCTTCGGAAGTAAACTTTTTTCATTTTTTTTATTTGTTAGTCATTTTCGAAGTCAACTGTTGCCGATTTTGCTCAATCCACTAACCTTCTACACGTTCGTCTAGTTCTCTCATCAAACCACGCAAAAAACACTCTAGTTCACTCTGGTATTTAACTTGAAACAAGGAAGGAAGAAACACTTGTGGAAAAACTACCTGATGAAGACGTCTTCGGAGCCCAAATTGAAACAGTTGCTCCTCAGATCTTTCCTTGATACCATATTCACAACTTCGCTTTTCAAGTCATCCCCGTACAACTGAATGTACACGTTAGCATCAGTAGAGCCATCTGTGATCGAATCAGAAGTCTTGATCCTGATTTCATAAAATCGCATCGGTTTAAAAGTGTTCACGAAGGCAGGAAGGTAGTTCAGAACTCGTTCACAGTACCCTGAAGGGTTCTTGGTTTGATCAACATCTTGGGCAGAACCACTTTCAGCAAACGACCATTGGGTTCCTTTTTGACCTGACCTCACTTGGATTTTCTCAAAGGGAAACTTGTGAGAAGCACCTTTTGGTTTCCAGCCCAGATGAATAGACTCGATGGCTCCAAGATCAAATGTTTCCAAATCAAATTCGTCCATTTGCCCTGACTTGAATGCCGTATTGTGTAATAATGACTGGCTCAAGATGAATTTCTCTGACTTCGAGAAACTCCCAATTAGGTGCATGTAAACATCACCGTCTGATTTTTCGAGGCCGTCGAAAGATTTTGCAAATGTTTTCACTTTGTAAAGAACTTTTCCCATTGTCATTTCTAATCCAAATTTGGACCGTAAACTCCATTTTCCTTTTGATTTTTTCTGTTTATCTTGGAAGTTTTTCACAAAGTTTTTGTTCATAGGAGTTAATGTGTGATTTATCTGCCCTGAAACTTCGTTGTAGACGTCAAACGAAACTTCAGCTGGAAAGAAAAACTCCTTTTTAGATGTTTGTAAACTGACAGTTTCTACATTCCACTTGAGCGAACCATTGACTTTAAGAATCACCTTTTCAGGCATGCCGATATTTAAAGTTTCAACCGTCAATGTGATCAATTTTCCAGCATCAGAAATCTGGCCTGAAAATTCACGGAAGCCAGTATCGCCACGAGCCCCGATTAGATTTATCGCAAAGCTATTTTCTTTTAAGTCTTGAGTTTTCCCTGAATTTGAACCTGTTTGAATTAGTACGTCATAGGACTCAGTTTTTGCTTCTTTTCTTCTTGAAGATTTTTTCATACTTTCAGGCACAAACTCTAGAACCGGTTTCGCATTAATTTTTGTCGGTCGGAAATGTTGGTTGCACTTAAATAGATAGTTCACGTCAAATTTAACATTTGAAAAATCATTGGGCTTTCGGTTGTCAAAACTGTGCCTTACTGAAACGCCTTTTTTCATCCATTCCTTCTCAGACAATCTGTCTAATTTTATTGGAGCATTTCTCATAACTTTGACTAAGTCTAAATCCCAACTTTCAAGCTCGTTTGGCACATATCTAAATCTGATTTTATCTATTTCGCCCACATCAGTTTCTTGAAAATCAAAATGATCTTTTCCGTTAGACTGGAAATGGTGCGTTGACTTTCGCAAAGAGACTTCTTCAGTTTTACCCCAACTTCCAAATAAGGTCAGGAAAACATCACCAGTTGTGCCTTGCTGTCCGGTTTCGATAGTCAAATCGTATCTAGTTTTCGGCTGTCCGTGAATAGCTTCAGAAGGATCTACTGAAACGTTTAAACATCCATCGCCTTCGCTTTTTGCGAGCCATCTTTGCGGATGAAAAGACATTTTTTCACATCTTTGTTCACAGAAAACTTCGATTTTATCCACGAACCACTTTTTATCTTCGTCTTCGTGGCCAATCACTATTTGGTGAATTTCACCGAGTTCAGCAGTTCGGAAAACGAATTCGGCCCATTGTCCTGGTTTGAAAATGTCGCCGGCGGTCGTTGTTTGTTTCTGATTTGTCAGTTTAAGACTGGTAGCTTCGGATTTGGTCCCGATGAGGGTAATGAAGGCAGATCCAATGTCTGCAATAGTGTCTAAAGCGATCGTCACAATGAACAGAAATATAGAACACGAGAAGTTGTCAATCAAAAAACGAGTGAAATTATTTCCTAAGCACATTTTGAGTTTTCTATGCACCCGCACTCAAACTTTATTTCGAACTGACTCTAATTTTACTCAATTGCAGATTCATAAATAACAATCAAAATGAAAGGAAGTGTACCTGGAACATCTGCTGTTAGAACCCGCACCTTGTAGTCTCTGCAGAATGCCTTGCCTCCACCTTTGCCCAATGGGTAGAGTGTAATCTGGGTGTGACGGTCGTGTTTGGTTGCCGATATCCACCGGCCACAGGGGAACAGCAGCCTGTCCTCTTTTGAGTCGGGAGGGGGCGTGACTATCACTTCCTCCACCAGCCAATCGTGTTCGGATTCTTTGCCATCATGACCGAGAATAATCTGGGAAAAAGCGAATTGAACTTGAAAAATTTGTACCAAAGCTAGAAGTGTGTCAAAAGCGGCTCATTAGTTTCTCTTTCACTTCTAATAACTAATATTTTATTATGGCTAGGATTAATGAAAAAAATGTCGCAAACATTTTCATTTAAAGAAATTTGAAAGTGTTTTTAAGTGTATTTCGAATTGAACAATTCAGGAGAAAATTTGAAATAAGTTTTAGCAAAGGACAAAAAAAAACGCCTTACGTGTTCAATTTCTCCCAGCTGTACACAGTTAAAGGCGAAGTAGTTTGTTTGCCCTGTGCGAAAAATAGAATGAGACTCTGGGTTGATTTGAGGGTTGAGGAACAACTTCCTGTACCCACTGTCACTCTTACTCCCCACCAGAGCCAGAGACGCCTGTGCCGAAGTGTCAGCACCTGCAATGGAGTTTGAGATAATGAGTTATATTTTACACTCAGAAGTACCACTTGATAAACACTAACGTAGTCCTAAGCAAACAGCATAGCTAGTTTTTCAAACAAAAAACATTGGAAGATCGAAGGCACAGTTTTCTACCTTTTGTCTCCGAAGTCTTGATTGATATTTTATATTCCTCTACTTTAGCTTGCTTCACTTTCAAACCATCACTGAATGCAGGAACATCAGTTGCCAAAGAGTAAAATGGCCCTCTAGCGGCCGACAAAAGTTGTTTGAATTCAAACTGATACTCTTCGCGTCTTTTCTTTCCATTGAGAAAGAGTCTCTTGATGAATATCTCGGAGTTATCGCCACAGTCATTTGGATTGAATTCAAGGGAAACTTTGAAGAAAGTTCCGACGTCTTCTAATGACAGTGTTATCTGCTCGTTGAAACCTGAAATCCAAAGACGGATCTCGGATTTTCTCAACGGGTGTTTTTCAAACAATTGTCAAAAATTTGATTGAGATTTTTTTTTCTGAAATAGCAGCAAAATTTCTTTTAGGCTAAAAGGTTGCTGGTAACCAAGGCGCCCTTAATTTGGGGTTAGTCTTCAGATGTCGTTAACAAGTACCATAGAGGGACCCTTTTGGCGGTGTAGGGATTTAATAGCGTCCAAGGCAAGCTTAGCTTGAAGCTTTGGCTATGCGTTAAGCACTGCATGCGCTGTCTCAGCTGTATGCAATAAATATACATGTATTTACGTGGATTGATGATAGTATGCATCGAGGTGCGACCTTCTCTCCCCCAAAACACCAACTTCAGCTCGCCTTCAACTTCCACATCTTCGTTTTTACCAATTATCTCCGTCTAAAACAAACAGTTGCCATGAATTTCAATCAATTTGGTTGTCATTAACTAATGTCATTTTGCGCAGACTCCCAGCAAAAAAGTTCATGAAGATATCTATTTGAATCTTTTTTATAGACTTTGAGTTTAGTTTCATTGTAAGTCTTGTTTAACAGACACTTATGTAATACCGTCCAGGTTCTGTTTGGCTTTCGGATGACTCGTTCATCCATCCTTTCGAACAAAGTCCTCTCCGTCAACTTGTTATCCCTCCTGTCCGAGAGCCATCCACCACACGTGAACACCTGCTGAATACATGTCTCCGGACAGTACACTATGACGTCATCCACGAATGTCTCCTGCGAGTGGTCCTTGAGTCCGATGCACAGTTGAGTCAGAGGACTGGGATTGTCGCAGGTGAGAGTGTAAGTCACTTTGTCAGATGAGGCGAAGTCGTCTTTGATGAACAGTTTGGGAGAAGACACTTGCAGGTATCCATCTGAGCATCAGGTTTTCTTTTTTTGCAAACACATCGTGACAAAACATTACATTTTTTGCTAAATTCATCTAAACTTCTTGCTAAATCGCTAATGGTCATTCGAACTCGAGATAGCGACTTTTTGGAAATCTTAAGATGGCAGAAACATGAGAAGATAATTAGTTATCTTTGAAGATTTTTGTGTTTTTAAGGAAATCATTTTTATGTCATTTATTTGCACGCGCCTTGATTGTTTCTGAAACCAAACAATCAATGCGCACGCAAATAAATGACATCAAAAATAATTTCTCTAAAGTCTCAAAAACTTTCTTGATAAAAATCTAATCTAGGTGTGTAATAAGTGTGTTTTAAGGTTTTTCGATTTGTGAGCGTTAGGCGTTATAAACATTTGAACAACTCGCCCATTTCGCCTGTCTTCTGTTCTCCGTAGAGGATGACATAGAGACATGTGCACTTGTCTGTTGAGTCCAGTCGCTGTTTCTCCAGATTGGTCTTCACAGTGATGACAAAAGTGTTCGCAGTCGACTTCAGTCCGTCCCCGTCAGTCAAATCATCTGCCATGTCTTCGAACCCAGTCGGCCTGACCACAAAATTATTCAGTGAAAGTATGAGAGTTTTATGGCATCCTTATTTTGAAGCTAACTTTTTGTTTGTAACATCAAAAAATTTGAAACTTGCAACCACTTGAATTGAACCTAAAAACGCCAACTACCATACATCCCGTAACAATATTAGGGAAGGGTGGTTTTTCAGGAGAGTTTTCTAAGCGCGCCTTGGGCGTCAATTTTCTAATAGATTTGGGTCGGTACGCCGAAAATATCTTTTTTTTTGGTCAAAGCCCAATAAAAACTGGCACAAGGACAGTGTTTTCAAATATTCGGCCGCGGGTCCGAATAGTGTTTCGAAAGAGCTAGAAACATCAGTGGGGTCGCCCTGATATAAAGTTCAACAAAATTCCAACTAACTTGAGGACACAACTGATGCTGCCGTCGTCCCTATCAGAAGAAAGCCACCTTCTACACTCAAACTCATACACTCTCCTGGGCGCATCTAGCTGGTCCAGAATGACCTTGTCCACGAACCACTCTGGCCTGTCTCCCCTTCTGTCATGACTCAGTCGCATCTGGCGCACGAAACCCCCGAGGAAGGGAGTGCTGATAGAGAATTCGGATACGATGCCTGGAAAAGCGCGAATCATAATTGCAAATATATATATTTCAAATCACAATGTCGCAACATGAAGGTTAACTATGTATAGAAATGGTGTAGAATTGAGTATGAAAGGTATAGTATTAAATCACCCTGTTCAAAACAAGTTCCGTCATTTTGGAGAAGAATTTCGTCTGAGTGACCAGTACTCCCGAAGAGGACGATGAAAGCATTCGCACTAGTCCCATGGTCCCTCCCTTTCCCAGTGAACACTGTGACCTTGAACCTGTTGCACTTCAAGCACTCCAGAGGGTTTGTGGAGACTCTCAGGTCAGTTGGGTTTCCAAACTGGGACACACAGTCGGAACATGCGGCGTAGTAAACGACGTTCGGTCTAGATCTGACTTTGATGGCGAGTCGTTCCAGGAACCAATCAGAGGCCGTTGGGTCGTCCTCGAGAAGTTTGATTCGGACTTTGATGATGTCGTCTAATTCTTTGGCTTCCATCGTGAAAACATCCGTTTTGGATGGCTGAAAGTAGGCTATTTTTTTTGCTTTGCCTGTTGTTGTGATTTGGATCGGTAAATGATTTTCAAAAATGTTTTCTTGGAAGTCAATGGTTCTTCACGTTACCTGGAAAATGTCATCACTGTTTCTTTCTAGAATGAGTGGACCAGTGTCAGAGGTGGTCGAATAGAGAGTAATAGCTACGTTTGCGCAGGTCCCGTCATTAGCACCCGAACCTCAAACACAACAGAAACCAATTTTATTTGTGGTTTTTGCTTTTGGCAGAGAGTCTATGAAAAGCTATCAAGCCTGTCTAAGCACAGTTCGTTTCTTTTGTTTTCCCACCTTACAGACTGTTGTTTTGCTGAGTGAAGCTCTTTTTTTTGCGACTAAAGGCCGTTTTTTTTGCGTTTTGACATTTCGTATGGTATCATTATTGCAACCAAAATTGGCCAGGGTTGGCAGACCTGAAACTAGAGGCCAAGTAAGACCTTGTCATCGCACACTACCCCGGGTTGACCTCCATAAAATGGTGTCGATGTTTAATTGTTTGTTTCTAACTTAAGTGTCAATTTTGTGTTTATAGAGAACTGTTTCAGAGGCTGATGTCGTGACTAGAAGACAAGAATCCCGTAAAAATATTGCCCGAATAGACGGACAAAATCCAGATTTTTCGGTGGACTGTTTCTGGTTTTTGGATTATTCAGCTCGCTATCAGGTTTCTTTAAAATTTTCCTTCTGAGGCATTCCCGCCCGGTATGGATTCTCCCTTGGATAAGAATAAGAACTGCTTTGCTTTCTCAGCAAGGGAGGAGAATTTACTGATAGAAAACATTTTTCTCTGGTTTTTCTTCTCTGTTAAGAGACTGCTCGTTGTACGGGATAGGATTTAAAACAATTTTTGCCTCATTTAGCTGGATTTATAATTGCTTAGAAATACTAATCAAAAATTTTTCATATATGAAAAAGTTCTAATTTCACAATTCCCATTTATGAAAAAAATGCTAGTCATACAATTTCCATATATGAAAAAATGCTAGTCATACAATTTCCATATATGAACAAATACTAATCATAGACCTTTCATTCAGTTTTCTGTACGTATGGAATTGCATGGAAAGTGTATGGCTAGCCTTTTTCCATATATGAAAATTGTATGACTAGCATTAGTGATCAACCCGGGATCATTGCCATGGCAGGGGGTCAAATACAGGGGATCGAATTTCCTCTAAAATGTGTGGTCTGAAAAATTAGTTAGTTATTTAATTTGATCTAAGAATTAATTCAGATCTGGCTCATGAAATTATAATTCTTCAACTTTTCCTCTTCTTTCTTCAATTTTTTTAAATACTTTTCAAGTTTTATCTGGCGCGGATTTTCTCCATTTGCTAGCAGATTGGCTAAAATGATGGAAGCTTAGTTACCTGTGACTGAGGTTATCTGGTATAGAGTGAAAGTCTCTTGAATTTGTTTCTGTTCTGACTCTATGATGCAATAGGTTTCTCCCAACTCTGTGTTCCACCCTATCCACTGATGACAAGGAAACTTCCACTGTTTTCCTGTTGCTTTGTTCTTGACTGTAACGGTGTCACAGTACCAACACTCGTCGTCAAACGCCTGAACGGAAAAGTTTTCTGATTGCTCACGGAATATCGGAGAGTATCGAGTCGACAAGAGAGCGAAGCAACAGAACAAAACTATCAGGATGTATAACGAGCTCGCCTTATCGACTAACTAAGAAACCTATAAAATCATCACTCTTTAGATGATTTCCAATTAAGAGACGTTAGAATTTAAGCCCAAAATGCCTTTAAGCAAAATAGATTACAGCAATGGAGCAAAAAAAAATAAAAAAAAATTGACAAAGATTATTTGCAGCAGTCAAATTAATCAACATATTTGCTGAACTTTGAAACAGAAATTTTGTGTCAAATTTTGATCCCAGACATTATCACCCCTCTCACCTGGTCTATGTCCACTTTGATGCTGTGCAACTCTCCTATGTCTTCATTGTGCATTCGAAATGCAATTGCAGTGCCCTCCCTGAAACACATCTCGTTCGTCTTCTTGGTCACGTGACGTTTGTCCACCAGCCGCTTCTTCACTGACTTCACACCTGTCTCCCCCTTCATCTGGATGTACACTGGAGCCCTGGTGCCGGATCCTTTTCCAGACCCAGTAGTGACAACTATCTGGAGCAGCATAGGGTCTTATTCGTACGGGCAATGTCAAAGGAGTTTATTTCAAAATTAAAATTGAGCAGGTTCGCCCCAATTCTTAGCTAACTTTGTAACATCTTTATGCATCTAATTGTGATAATGCCAGGTCAAAAAAGTTAAAAATGAGCAAACTCCCAAGTCATACTTTGTATGTTGTCAGTTCCTTGCTGCTGTCATCTTGGCTTTTATCGAGACTAGCAGCAGACTCCCCGTATCCGTGAACAACTAATCGGTCAAAGGTTCTTTCATCTGCCTTCGTTCTTTTGATCTTCCCACTTTTCAGTTCTGGCTTTGACTTTGAAAAACCATCTTCAAAGTTGGAAGAATTTTGATGAGACGATTGGGAGCGCTTGCGACCGGATTTCTTGCCCTGACTTTTTGATCTGAAAGAAAGTTGAAACACTGCAAATATTTACTATTTTCCAAACAAATTTTCAATGAGATAGAAATAACGCTGGAAATAAGGATATTACCGTTGAAAAAATGCGTCCAGCCTTATCCGCATAAACTCCTCATCCGTGAAATCCTCGTTCAGCATTTTAATGGGAGGGGCAAGGTTCGATTAAGCAAAATAAGAAAAATGGTAGCATACAATTTGTATACAAATACATCCTAAAAATAATCAATGCTCGTTTTTTTTTCAATTACACATCTTTTTTTATAATATAATCAGCATTTGCAAAGCAATGGCATCTGCAATGTTTCATAGTGTACACAAAACTGATTTTGAGAAGCAAATAATGAATTCACGATATCAAATCTAAGCATAATGTTGCTTGCTCCGAACGCTCTGGATTTAGTCAGGGATTTATTTTTGTTTTCAGTTTTGACTACCTGGAATTGTCCCATATCGGCGGAAGAGTTTTCGTACTTAAGTCATTCGAAAAAACTTGTATATAATTTAGAAGTTTATTCCGAGCAACAATTCATCTGAACAATTATGGCAGTTTGATACAATGCCGTAGAGGCCAAACTGTGCATTTCGTGAATGGTAAGCGGATTCCGCAACAAGCCAAAAACAGAATTGCTACTTTCTTTGATCTTCTTTGCAATTTAGGACTCCAAGGACACAGCTTAAACACTGTATTGCTCAAAATTGCTCGAAAAGAGGCAATAGCTTTGCGGAACCCACTTTCATTTGCGAACGCACTTAAATTTGAGGACTACATTTATTCATCGCAGCGGTTTCCGCAACAAAACTAATGTGCCGACAAACTTTATGTTAAAGGTATTTGTACGCGGAATCCACGGAAATTTTGTGAATGGAATTCACTTACATTTTGCAACATATTTAAATACTTGTCACTGGAGTCCATGGACATACAAGCACAAAATTGTGCGCCTATCCAGTGCATAGTTTGGCCTCGTAATGTGGAGAAGTTATATTTTCAGCTGTCTACGTGTTTTGTTGAACATATTTATTTTTTTTGTTCCGAGTTTTGAATAAAAGATCCAATATAATACTTTGTTTCATCAGATGAATTTCCAGTATTGTAAAAACAATTTAAGCAATTCGATGCCTTGAGCTTAAAGTTAAAAGCTTAATTCACCTGCGACCATTTAACTATATAGGACTTTGAAAATTTCCAATTTGGTTGAGTCGATTTCCACGATATTTTCATTTATTGAATAACGGTTAGCGCTGGCTGCAAATTAACCTGTTCAAAATTTGATCCAAATTTGAGGCTAGCTGATTACTTTAAAGGTTAAACTAGTAAACAAAATGCACAAAAATTATAATTTTGTACTTCATATTGCATGTAAAACGTTAAAACACAAACAAAAAACTTCGGGCTTTGCACGGAATTGAGCAGTCTTGACTTTTTGACTTTCGACAAAAACCTCAACGCATAGATCGATTTTTATTCAGACCATTTTCACAAAGTAAAGACCAGAGTGGAGATCAAATCTGTTAGCTACGTTTCATCAAGCGAGTGTTCTAGGGTTTATATCACATGCGTTTTCAGCCTGTGTGGGCTAATCGCCTAATAATTTGGAGACTTTATCTAGGAAGTTGAAAGCGTAACAGAAAATTATAAGACTCAAACTCTAACACTAACAAAGCCTTAAATGTTCCGACTGTCCGTAAAACTGGTCTCGAATAGTTTTTAGTTAATGAAATATTGACAACTGTGAATTTTATGCTGAATTTTATGAATCATGTACGAAATTTTTGTGATCAATTAATTAGCCTGCCTAAATTGAATTTGAAACGATTTTGTGGTGCGGGATAGTTGGCCACGCGTAATAAATGCGAGTCAAATTTTTGCAGCATCAAAGTATCATAGCGCTCTTTTAGTCATGTGAGTCATTTAAAGAGCTTTTCACAGCGCCCTTTAAGCCAGGGTTGATTAGTGGTAACCTCGCGCTCCTTGACCCGATTAAACGCAATTAAAACACAATTTATTGGAACAATCTTGAAAAAGTTAAGCTTGTTGTTTTTGTGAAGTTAGAAAAAAAACTGAAATTTTTATAGACGTTATCCTCTTTTGTTTCTGCCGGCCAAAGATACAGTCGGAAATTTGATTGACTTGAATGCATTTCAGCGTAAACATGTATAAAAAAAATTGTTAGTTGTTATCAAGTTGTATAACTTTTTAAAGCACCTTTAGTTGTGATCCTGAATCGAAAGAAAAAACACTTGAGAAAATTTTTTTCTTGTCGTTTTTAACTGATATGAAAATTTTCTTCTAGGCTAATTGAGACCTACGGTTGGAGTAATGGAGTTGTATCATTTTATGCGAAGGCTAGTATAAGTAACAATGTAAGAATATGGCGCTTTTTTTATAAAGTTGATAACACTTAAAAAACACAATAATATAGTAAACATTTCCGGAAAAAGTATTCATTGTTATAAAGTTTTCCCACTCATTTAAGCAAAAATTACTGTTATGATTATAATATTTAATTGAAAGAGTAACGGATGTTTGATTGTGTCAAAAAAAAAAGAAAAAAAAGTAGAAAACTGCTAAATTTAAGTGTGAATTAACCCAAAAAGAACCAACCATTTAACGTGTTGTTCATATTGTCAAAAAGTGAGAAAAACTATTGAATCTTGAAAATAGTTTGTGAGCCTTATTTAAAAATATTCAAACAAATTGTTCAATTGGTATCAATCAGTTCTTTTGAATTTAAAACACGTTTGCAAGTTTCTGTTGCTCGAAACATTAGCTTTAAGACTTAAAACTTTTTCTATAATGAACCTAAAAATCAAATTGAACCTTACTGATCTTGGTATTGAGTCGCATAAAAGAACAACTTCGCTCAGCAAAATAACTGTCTGAAATTTGGGGAAAATGAAAGAAGAGGTCTCTCCTTAGACACGTTAAGATGGTCTCCAGAAAGCCCTCGGTAACTCGTAGAAGCAAATTTGTTGTTATTAATTAGTGCTTTTAATTGAAACTTACACTTTGGCATTTCGGTCAAAACTCTGCGGGATGACCAGTCCAGTTGCTGTCATCCACTTCAAGTCCTCGTTCCACCCATCCGACATGTCCCAGTGGACTAGGGGGTTGTGCTTGAAATTAGTCCCACCTATGTCCCACTCTGGGGACTTAACACGCTCCCCCTCCATATAAGGTTAAACTCGCGCACAGCGCTACGATAGCAACAACAATAACAAAAGTAAATCTAAATTTGCTCTTTATTATTTAATTCTACTGCAGTTTGTTGCGTGATAAAGTATAAAATGTACGTGCGACAGTATATGTGCGGTGTTTTTATTTGTACGCACCAAACTAAATATTTTTTAAAAAAAATCTTTCAATCAGCGTGGTATATATGTTTTAGAGCACGGTGGTTTCTTCAAATAGCGGCTTCGAATTATTATTTTCTTTGTTTTTTGTTTGAGTTTCAGTCTTGGTTTTCAGGTATCTTGAAAAAAGAAAGTCTGTTTCTGGTAAATTGCTTGAGCAACAACAAAATGACCCTTAACGTATCATGGCTTCTTATTTTATTGAGACAAAAACGTTGTTTTCTGATATAGAAACATTAGACAAAAACCATAACAATGGTAAAAACGTTTTTCGGACCAGTAACTTTCTTTTTATACAACTACAAATAATGTCTTTCAAAATTATACGCGAATTAGGTAGTCGGTGGTTGCTTCAACCCCACCCCCCCCCCTGGGGGCCTGATTTTGATTTCATTTTCTGGCCGATGTGGTGGAGGGCATATGATTCGAACTAAGTTGAAACGTGAAATCGCTCATGAAATTGTCAAATTGTTTTTTTTAAATTCAAATTGTTTTTGTTCACAAATTTGAGCAAATTTGAGCAAAAAAGAACCTCCAACAGAGTGATTCTTTCAGCAACAGTCGCTTAAGGGAAACGAAAACCAGTAGTTTGAAGGGGATCCCCTTGAAGCTTTGAGGTCTAAGGGCTCCTGCAGTTGAAATTATTGGATACTTCCACAATTTTAATTGCTAGTAAAATACTTTTCAAACCAACGTACAACCAAAATCCACACAATAGAAAACCTAGCAGACCAAATTATGTTTTATACAAAAACAATTTCATTCCATAGTGACTGCTATTTTTGTTTGTGTCAATCAAGCGTTGCCCCAAAATATCACGTAACAAGCATAAATTATGTTTTCACTTTTGGTTATATTGCGTTGTAGTTGAAATGAAACTTCTGTAGTCAAGCTTGGTTGAAATATAGTACTTTTGGTTGCGCTGATCGAAACATACCTGAGTTGGCCAAACTTGGTCGAATCATAGTTTTTGGGTCGCGCCAGTCAAAGCATGTCTCAGATATTCAAAATTGGTCAAAAAATGGAAAACCGTAGTCACGTCGGTCAAACTCATCAAATCAAACTCTCGACCCGGGTAAAGTCGAACTCTCGACATACATAAAGTCAAACTCCCGACTCCGATTAGCTGAAATTGCCTAGCTAAAATGACCGAATAGCGTTCTTCCTTCAGAGATGGTCTGGTAATGAGTTTCTTTCATGTCAATGAATTTGTTTTAAAAGGATGTGTTTGCTATTGTAAAATTGCTATTTTACTTGAAAAATTGGGTTATTTACTTGAAAGTTTTCAAATCGATTGGTGACCTTATTAAAGTATACATCTGAATTTATTTTAAAAAACATGTTTTTGAAGAAAGGATGTTCTTTGACTCACAAATTTAGCGTTTTTGTATGTTTTGAGCTCGTGCTGTCTTAATCTCTTCTGTTAATTTTTGCTACAATTATCCGGCACTGTTTTTATATGCAATGAACGGCAGCATATCTGCGTTTTTTAGTCCATTCAACGTAAAACTGAGTTTTTCTTGCCGAAAGCATCCAATGCCTTTTTGTAAACTTCGAGTCAAGGCCTGTCATTGTTTATATTGTTAGACCATGCATTTCACGATAGAGATATTAATACGCAAAATATCTGATCTTGAATTTACGCCCACCGCATTTTTCTAAGACTCAAAAACCCTTGGTGAGCTTGTTAGCGCACGATTGACGCCATATTTGCACGTTAATTATGGAACTTTTTTATTTAAAATCCAGAAGAGAACAAATTTTTAATAATTCATAAAAAACTTATTTGGTAAGATCTATAATTCAAAATAAAAAACTCACGACATTTTTGCTTTGTGCATTTTTATTTAGTTTGAAACAGATCTAGATGCTTAGAGGACAAGCAGCCCGGGTTGACCTCCATACACCGAAAATGCTTATCATACAATTCGATACAACAAAAATCATTATCATACAAATCCATATATCAAGTGTATGGAGAAAACGCTTGTCATACATTTTTCATACATTTTCGAAAAACAATAGAAAAAATGTTAAACCATTTCTGCGGTTTTTTGAGAACAGTTGAACAGACTGGTGACAAAAAAAACTGATTTAAAATATTATTTTGAAAAAAAAATGCTTTCCATACAATTTCCATATATTCCATATTTTCCATAAATGCATATTTTTTGATGGCGACATAAGTAATTTTAAAAATTTACCTCAAAACTTTTTTTCCAACCGCAAATCAAATTTTGTATGCAAACAAATTTTTTTCGAAAATTTTTTTTTGCATGCAAAATTTAATTTTTTTTGTGTGCATAACATAGTGGTGGATACAATAATATATTCGCTTTATTTTCTTTTCACTTAAATTTTTTTTTCAAAAACGCTGAAAATCCCTATTTTTTTTGTATGGCGTGTTTATGTATGCCTTGATCAATGTCTGATAATTTGAAAAATCAAAAATTTAAAATAACCATCACTGAAAAATTTTGCCAAAAATTAAAAGTTTGTTACTTTTTTAAATCATTTGTGATAGACATCTGGAAGACAATTTAGGTCGTTTGTTATGCATTGTAAATGTAAGACCGTCCAACCTTTGATGCTTTGAGTAACCAAGGTTTTTGTCACTTGTGTTCGGTTGCAAACACAACCCAAAAATTTTCAGAAAATAAGTTTAGAAACAAAAAACAACTTTTTGGTTTATGGAGAAAACGCCTATTATACAATTTCCATATATGGGAAAATGTTTATTATAGAGTTTTCATACAATTTTCTGTACGTATGGAATTGTATGAAATTGTATGAAAAGAAACTTCCCATTTATGAGAATTGTATGATAAGCATTTTTGGTCAACCCGGTAGCCTGGTTCAAATTTCAACCGCAAAACTGTTTTTGGACACTTATGCATCAATTGGGCTAAGAATTGAAAATTTTGCTGAAAAACTTTGTTGATTAATCTTAATCATCATCTCAGAAATACTCATTTATTTACAGGCCGGTTTTGAATCAAGTAAATTTTTTTCAACGTCATTTATCTACTGTTTTTAAATGCTATGGAGCAAATTAATTTCACAACATTGCAGCCTTTTCTATCAGTGATTGGTATGAGAGACCAACCTGACTGACCATCTGCCAAAACAAATCAAAAAAGGCAAAAAATTCAGAAGAGTGTTTCTCTTTGAAGCAGTTTTTTGAAAACCAATTACCCACAGTACCTACCTTTAGGACAAAAAAATAAAACATTTTTTGTCATATGAGCGAAATTTTTCTTCATGTTTTTGTCGTCTACTCTTTAACTAGTCAATATACAGGGCTGATAAATTGACTTATAGTTTATGAAACTTAGTCGTTACAGAAACAACGAAAAAAAATGAAGAAAAAATTCGCACAATTAAAAACAAAAAGATTGATTTTCTTTGCGCTGAATTGTAGTCACAGAAAATACCCATTAGGCAATCTGTACCCTGAAACAAGTGCTGTAACTTTAAAACGTCTCTTAATTTGACATCACGCAATTTTTCGTAATTGAAACCCTGCTAGGAAAGCCGTCAAACATTATGAGTTGAGAATTAAATAAATTACGGGCAAAACTAATGCTATTTCTATATTATATCATCCATTATTTATATAAATCAAAAAGTTTCGACAATACCAGCCAGTTGTTTGTGAAAATTGAACAATCGTAGTATTATTATGTCTTCATTGCTGCTGCATCTGTGCAGTTTCTGTGGTGTGAATTATTTGTTTGAACTCTCTGCTGAACGGCAGATTCTGTCTGATCAATTCTGCTTTCGAGCTTGGAATTAGTTTAGTTGAAATGGCACAGCTCAGAAGTCGGCTAAATCTGCGAAAAAGACAAAAATTGTAGGTTCACTTCTTCGATCAGTTGTTTAAAATAAACTATCAATTAACCAAAACTCAAAACATCAAAAAACTGACAAAAATCAAAAGATAATTTCGAACAATCATTGATCGCCAGTTTAGCAGCTGAAACTTTTTTATTACTTTATTGTATTTTATTCGAGGAAATTCTGTTTGAAAGAGTAACTGCAAGTTTTGCTTACCTGATTGGCTGTGCGGAGTGGTTGGCGACACAGTGGTGTAATAACATGATGCACACCTGGTCATAGAGGCGCTTGCTCAACTCGGTCATTTCTGCATCCAACTCAGAGTTATCTAAAAGAACAGAGCTGTCATCCATTCTCAATTTATTCTGGAAAACTTACAGCACTAAAAGAAAGGTGAATTTAGGGGGCTGGAGGGATGCGTCTTCCTTCAGGGATTCGACCACCTTACCAACCAAAGGGTCACCCCTTGGGTATTATTTTATGACATCCATTTTTGGCCAACCAACTCTAAAATTTTTCTAAAAGGGTTTTTGCGCCAAAAATCTTGAAGGGAAGTGCGCGCCAAAAAAAACCCTATTCTTAAGTCAAACTTTTTTTCACAAAGTGCTAAAAAAACGGCATTTTTGAATTGTTTTTTATATCAAAGCTTCGCCTGCGACGCAAAAAAGTATGTCAAAATAGGGTCTTAATACTGATCTGGGAGCGCTTGGAAAATCAATTTGGTCGGCCTAAAAAAAGGTAGACAAAATTTTCGAAAATTTTTTGAAAATCCACCCCCCCCCCCCCTCTCTCGAAAAATCCTAATTCCGCTTCTGACGAGAAAATAAAATTTTATTTTATTCGAACCCAAGCATGTTTGCTTGGTATTTTTTGTCTGAAAAAAGAGTTGAAATGCAAATGATTATCATGATTGACATAGTTATTTGATAAGTTTGAGAACTCACATGGGTAGAAAATGAGGATGCTTCTCAGAGCTGCAAATTCCATCACATTGAGAGCCTGTGTGTTCAGCTCCTCAAACACCAACAAGCAAGTGCGAACCAAAAGGTCAACAGACGAACTGTCCTCATTTCTTCTGGAAGAATCTGCTCCCTTTTCCACTTTGTTCACAAGCAGTAGTTGTTGGTGGAGCCAGTGGAGTAGTTGTTTCTCCATGTTCAACTGACTGGCAGTGATGATAGCCAGACTGAGCAGACTCCCATTAACCAACTTGGTCTAAGAAAAACTCAGATGTGATGAACAAAACACGAATGACCGATTGCTGTGCAAATGGTTCGAAGATATGAGGCCACCCACAATCATAACCGTAAGCATTACAAAAAGTAATAATAAAATAATTTGTTACCAGGCTCACTAGTTTGTAATTATAGTATAAAATACTGGTAAAACCTTTATCCCAAAATGAAGCCTGAGAGAACGTCTTTCGATCAAATGGTCCGTTTTCAAACGTCTCTGAGCGGAAAAGAATTTTCAATTTAAGTAATGAAGAAAAAGTAGTATATATACAATCAAAAATTATTTTACACTGTTGATAAAGCAAATAATTCTTGAAGTTGAAACAAAGAAAACCAAGATTTTTATTTTTTTATCAAAATTTCAAAAAAAATTGTTTTTGTTAAATAATTAAAATTAAACAAGTGTTGATTTTTTTTCGAAAAAGAAAATGTTGACTAGTTTGTCTTCCCTTTGTCAATTTGTTTCAACTTTTTTCGGTTTGTCGATGGTAAAATTGTTGTCGACTTTTTTTCTACGTGAATTGAATGAATTGTCCCACATCTCCAATAGACCCATCCTAAGAAACCTATTTTACGAAATTATTAATACCATTATTAGCTTTGCTGCAACTTTCCGCGAGTTATCTTGCGAGTTTGGGCGGCTAAAATCCTGGCACAAATAAAGAATTGTGTTTGCACATTAATCATAGTATTCGCAATCACAGCGGTCACGGCATGATTCGCGGAACTTGACCTGGGAAAGAAAAATATGCTTTCAGTAGTTAATTTGTTTACAAGAGAAACTAGGGGCCCAGCTAAATCTGGCGACATCGGTTTAATAAATTCAGGATCAAATTTCACTAGTTGGACTTTACCCAAAACCTCAGTGGTTTCTCTTATAAAAGAAGCGATAATAGCCGCTTACTTAGAGAAGATGATTACTACCCATTCTTTCAACTGAACTCAATGTCAAATTTGCCAAATAGTTGTTTTCAAAAAATTAAAGATTTGCCAAAAAATCTTAAGCATTTTTAAAAATAGGCTTTGACTTTTCCGAATACTAAATATTTTGTTACCAGGCTCACTAGTTTGTAATTATAGTATAAAATACTGGTAAAACCTTTATCCCAAAATGAAGCCTGAGAGAACGTCTTTCGATCAAATGGTCCGTTTTCAAACGTCTCTGAGCGGAAAAGAATTTTCAATTTAAGTAATGAAGAAAAAGTAGTATATATACAATCAAAAATTATTTTACACTGTTGATAAAGCAAATAATTCTTGAAGTTGAAACAAAGAAAACCAAGATTTTTATTTTTTAATCAAAATTTCAAAAAAAATTGTTTTTGTTAAATAATTAAAATTAAACAAGTGTTGATTTTTTTTCGAAAAAGAAAATGTTGACTAGTTTGTCTTCCCTTTGTCAATTTGTTTCAACTTTTTTCGGTTTGTTGATGGTAAAATTGTTGTCGACTTTTTTTCTACGTGAATTGAATGAATTGTCCCACATCTCCAATAGACCCATCCTAAGAAACCTATTTTACGAAATTATTAATACCATTATTAGCTTTGCTGCAACTTTCCGCGAGTTATCTTGCGAGTTTGGGCGGCTAAAATCCTGGCACAAATAAGGAATTGTGTTTGCACATTAATCATAGTATTCGCCATCACAGCGGTCACGGCATGATTCGCGGAACTTTCTGGGCCTACTGTTTTTGCAGATAGTTTTCTCGGAAGCAATTGTTTCAACTAAATCCTTGATAACAGCTCTGAGGGATCGTTTCCGAGAAAAGACAAAAAGTTTCAAAAAATCCTCAAAACATCTGAAAATTGTCTTTTCCGAGAGCTTTAACTTCTTGTCTTAAAAAATTGGTCGCAGCTGCGCCACAAAAGAAAATTTTCAAAAATGTTTCTTTCGAATTAATTGCATGTTTCAAAATTCAGAGTGCGTTTTTTGAGTCAAGACAAACAATTTCTAAAAACAGTCAAAACATCATAATTTGACTCTTTCTGAAGCAATAAATTTTATGCTAGAAAGTTTGCCTAGCTGCTTTTGCAGTTATCTTCTGACAATATGGTCTTTTGATTGATACCAAAGTGTGAAGTTTTCATATTTGGGAGGCTAATCGTCGAGAAAAGTGAAAAAATTTCAAAACATGGACAACGAATCAAAAGTTCTTTTCTGAGAGCCATAAAAACTTGGGCGCAGCCGCTGATGCAAAGAAGCTTTGCACAAACCGTTTTGTTGATGATTGAAATCAAAACTTTGGGTAACTTCCCAAATGGCATAATTCCCAAATAGCATAAAAATGAAACTTTTCCCAAATGGCATAAATTCTAAGTTTTCATTGTAAGTCAAACGTTTTCTATCAGTTTCATATTCTTTATTTTGCCAGATACCAAAACATGTGAAGAACATATGGAATTAATTGCTTCCAAACGAATGTTAAGCGACAAATTTGCCGGAAAATTTGACCACAAGAAGCTAATCAATAACCGAAAGCTTATGCTTTTTGCTTTTGATTAAAAAGTTCTGCAATTTTTTCAAGATAAAAAGTTAATCGACATTTTAATTGATATTTTGACAAAATTTCATAAATTGCTTATCAAAAATTTGTTCTCGATTGAATGAAACTTATGCCATTTTTATGTAATTTGGGAACTATGCCATTTGAGATGTAATCAAACTTTGGATATATGCGAGAGTATTATTTAAACAGCCAACTGACAGTTGGAAAAAAATGATCGCAAACAAACAGAAAACAAAACTCTCATTTTTTAAAATAAATTTACTCTAAATTGAGAAAACTAGATAAAAATTGAATTTATACTTACGTTGAGAATCAAAATAATAAAATCCTCATTCAAAATTAGAAGTCGATTATATTTCTTGTGAAGTTTACTTTTTGCTGTTGAAAAAGGAGTTGCCTTCCTTTAAACAAGGAAAAACAAGGAACCTAGAATAATCAAACTTAAAACAGCGACAATCAAAATTGATTTTTTCTTTACCTGAAAAAAAATCACAAAATTTTATATGAGCTCATTTCGTTCATTTATTTTTTAAAAAGTCAAAGTTATACAAACAAAGGTTCAACAAATCAAAATTTTGATTTTCTAGAGCCATTATTGTTTGTGTTTAACAGTTTGGACGGAGCCAGGAAGCTAATTTTCAAAAAATTTAAGCAGTTGTGCGTAGTTTGAAGATCTGAAAATTGGTTTTAGAGACGTAGTTTTTTGAGAAAAACCAAAATTTTGGGAAACTTTTTTAAAAAATCAAAATTAAAAGATAAAAAAAAGTCATCCACTCTTTTTCACAATACATGGACTAGCTGCTATAATTTCTTACTATTTATTTCGTTTTATTACATTTTTTTGAAAGTTCGGGCAATGGTTTTTTAATGTTTCCCATAACTTTTGGTTTTTCTCAAAAATACGTTACGGGTCCCTATTTTCAAATTTTAGGGCCATTTTAGGGCCATATACACAAATTAGCTAAAATTGACTACGTTTTGACAATGCCGAACTACATTTTGAGAATTGAAGTTCAAGTAGGTGCGGGGAAAGTCGTTTAAATTTTTTTATTTTTTACTAGAGTATCCAAAATTTGGCTCTTTTCCAGTTTCTCCCCCCCCCCCCTGATATTTTTTGAAATTCAATAAATGAAAGTCTATTTAAAATAACTTTTTATGAAAAAAAAAACTGCGTTAAAACGTGTCAGCGTGAACAGGTGAATAAATTTGCACCGCATTTTTAACATGCAAAATGCCGTGTGAACAATTTTTGAACAGTTGTATTTTGTAATTTTTTGAGAGGGGGGTGGGAAACTGGAGAAGAGCCCAAAATTGTTACCAGCAATTACTGCTTTTCCACCCTACCATCCTGCCTTACAATTTCATTTTTGAGAAACATAATAACAGGCAAAAACAACTTCGAAAAGAGATTTTATGAAAAGTGGGGGTATGGGGAGGGGAAACAGCAGCAATTACGCAATTACAAAGATATGTGTTTTCCTATTGTCCGATTCCTACTGCATGCATTTTAGGTGTACAGTGTAACCATGAATTTTACGGTAACAACAAATTTGAGGACATAATATGATTGTAATTTTGTTTGCAGCCACGTGACAATTGGACAACGTGGACAAACGTTAGAAACATAGAAAATGGGAGAACGTTAGAAGAGCCTTTTTTTCCCTCTCATTTTCTCCCCGCCCTCACTTCACATGAAAACTTTTTTTTTGGTTTTATAAGTTTAGGTTTAAAACCAAATATAGGTAGATTAGCCAGGTTTTTTCCATTACATACCCCCTCGCCCCGCTAACAAATAAAGTTTTCGCCCTTTCAAACAAAGAAAATTGGAGGAAATATAAATGAGAAGAGCCTATAATGGGAAATACCCGAACATCTTTTTTTAGATGTCAATTTCGAAAACAATTAGGTATTTTGAACAAAAAATAAACAAGAAAAAATTCACATGTGGGGTAAAAACGGAAAAAAGAGCCTGAAACAGCAAAAATTATCTCTGCAACAACAACCCGGGCTATTATTGTTTAAATTTAGTTTCGCACGTGCTTATTGAGTGACGATGACTTCAAATTGTGTGTAACTTTTGACTTTTGAATCAAGCTAGGTTCCCGCTTCAGATTTGATTTGATGCTCGTCATAACCAAGTGGTAACCAAAACCAAACGCAAACAAATTTTCAATCAAAAAACAAAACCAAACAAACGGATAAAAAACAAAACTTGAGTGTTCCAACAAAACCCAAAAGGCAACCAAAAAATATTGAATAAAACCGTTCTGAAATCATACACAGTACACCGCCGTGAGGCATTGGACGCCCAGATCCTAAACATCTGGGTTAGCTTGTCTGAGTAAAAATTCACCAATCACAAAGACTAGTTGCGGAACCAACATTAGTGGAGAAAGACGAGCGAAGAAAACGGATTGGACTTGATAGAGGATGAGCTGCTACCGATACTGCTACCGTCCCTGGTACTACTACA